CGTAGATCCCATTCCTTACTAATCTTTTCCCTTGAATTTGACCCGCGGGCGATTTATGTGCAAAGATTATCCTGTTGACTAGGGGCTCGAATAACTCAACGAAAGCCACAATGGATGTAAACAATGAACGGCAGCTTAATAACATACGAAATACGGTAAATATTTAAGATACGTGCACAAGAAAAACGACGGTGAAGATGACGTTGTGGGTTGCGACACCATCTTCTGACCAGTTCTCACGATTATCCTCGAATCATTCAAACTCGCTTCGAATCTGTAGTTGATATCCAACGCCAAAAAAAAAAGCTGTTCAGAGAAACATACAGTGGAAAATTCCTGGAACACTTTCCACCTCTCATTCGGGGAAAGTTGCAAGAAAGGCAGAAGAGTCTTTGCGCCGACTCGACTCAATAATTAAACTCGGAAGAGTTGCAGCTCATGGATTCAACTTTGCGTCATCTTGTTTGTGTATGTAACAACGATTTCACGTCGTCTCTGCGATCCGTCGTTGCACTATCCTCTCAGCTCACAGATTCGAATGGACCATACTACGCTGACGACCAAAACAATATTCATTTTAAAGGCACACATTGTTTCAGTAACCCACCCTTTTGAACATTCAACACGAGGAGCATTAGGCAGTGTTCGGGAAAATACATGCAGCACCCAAACACTCGTTTCCATGACAAAATTATCAAACGATATATGCAGTCATAAGGCTGAGACCACGCATTTCAAACCCCCCCCCCCAAAAAAAAAAATGTCAAACATAAAGAGGAAGACAACGAAACTAAACGTGGGGAGATTTAAAAAGGGAATGAAATGCAAGGCAGAAAATAGGAAGGTGTGGGGATGAAGCTACAGGGAAGTGAGGGGGCAGAGCCCAGTGGTAAGGTTGAAAGTGACTCAGTGGGGAGGCCCTCCCCTCACCATAAACCCCTCCTTTCAGGACGTGGGGAATCAATACCACGTTGCCTAGTCCAACCGTCGCTACACAACATGCAGCTAGGGGGGAAAACCGGCAACACAGCACTAACTAAATGTGCGTACAGCGTCCATCATAAGATTGAGAAGTGTTGTCATGAAATCTTGTGGGAAAAAAAATGGGTTTAATGTAAGATCTGCTAATAACATTCCACCAAAGAGTAAGAATGAAGCAATGCACTGCGTTTCCCTAGGATGTATCTCAATATAAATGCAAATGCAACATAAATCTCATACATATTAAAAGGAGAAACAACTGCAAATAAACTGGCGACACAATATTAAATAACTTCACTTGTAACAACAGAGCGGACAGAAGCAATACCGAACTCCTTTGCCAGAAGGGGTTGATAGCTTCAGAAACGCTTGAACTTATCGGACACCAGTCTCAATTTCGAGCGTAGAAGCTGCAAGGGCATCAGAACGGCAGTAACTTGGCTGTTCAAACACAAAACTGCCAATAAAACGCGTGGCCACAAAAAAAAAATCTGCCCATATCTATATTCAGATAAGACAGTCAATATGATCAACAACAAAAGATTCCGAACTGAAACCACCGTAATTCATCTCGAAAGGAGAAACTGGCCTGAAAATCTCTACCTCAAGAAGCAGGAACAAAGAGAAAATCGTACGTGAAAATAATTAACACATAAAAGGTACACAAATATCCCAAGCCCGAAGGAACTGTGAAACAAGAATCGATAAAATTCAAACACTAGTGGAAAAAACATAGAAACAATCAAAAATGGATGGAAGTTAACTTATAATGTAACCATAAACCGAGGAACTGTACAAGAGCACAGTAAAATAAAATAGTCGCGGGTAAAAAATTATATATTACTGAAAATTACCCGACCACAGCTCAATACAAGAAAATTCAATTTAAAATTCAAAGCTTCCTAATATGGCGGTCGAAGAATCTTATAATGCCGCGATACCAACTTGTTGCTTGCCACTACATACAATCGATTTTACAATTTTCATGAAAGAGAAGATCATAAACATTGTGAGCATGAGTAAAATCCAAGTTTACATAACTTACCATATCTGGTCCCATATCTTTTATGTCACAATAAATCAACAACCCTGATGCCGGTGTCATCCAACTCTCGTGTTGCAAAATTTTTGGGCGAGAATTACAAGACCTCAGTGGATGCTTTATAATATATACACTAATTCACAGCAATTAATTATGGAAAAACACAAAACACCACCACATACACACGAAAAAACTATTTACAAAGCATCCGAACTAATTGCTCTTCTCTTTAGTTTCACTCCATTTTTATATTCAAAATTGTTTCACCGCCCACACCTTCGAACACACACGCGCGCGACACAAGCTCCAACTGCCGAGACAAAGAACCAACGCCGGGACTGGGCAAGTTCATTACCTCTAAGTGGAGGGGTGACAAATCACCAGGTTGGCCAACGCATTTGATTCTACACTACTACGGTCCCAGAAAATGAAATACTCCTAGTAAACGTAGGCACCATGCAAAATTTACGCCGAATGAAATATTGTAAACGGTCTATATAACCGTAACAATTTAACTACATCGATTCACTGCCTGTAAAGTTATATTAGTTTTGCATACATTATGTAATAGCTAAAGTGTTCCAACTAGCGCTATGATGTTGGTTGGCCTGATATCGCTCGAGGCTGCCGCGAAAACGTGACTCAAATAAATGCCGCCAAATGTCAACCAGCAAACACTGTTGTACATTTGACTAGGGAAATTCCAAACCCCAAAAATTACATCAAGGAACTAAATTTCAGTAACAGCTTTCATTGAAAACACAAAACTGCCATACATTCTGTTCTTTCTGTCCCAGGGACGACCTCTTTTTGCATCTAACCAACATTTCCAACTTCAGTAATCAATTTTCTTGCATCCTTTCTACATGGCATTTCCCATCTTCTTCAAAATCATGCATGTCTTCGGCTACTGTGAACTTGCACACTTTACAAATAACTATATATTTTTAAAATTCAAAAACCATGTCCGTATAAGGGACAGACATAAGGGTTTAACAACACTGCTTACATAGCAAGAAAACCATGCTGCAAAGGAACAAATTTATGAAGCTTTCAGTCAGATAAAATCTTAAACAAAGCGTAACTTGTAGTTAGAGTTGAGTGCAAGATGGTAAATATCAGACTATAAAAAATTCATTTGCATTATACAAGGAAATAAGAGGTAGCTTAAGAAAAATACATTACTCTACATATATTTTGTATGAAGACAATGATGACTGTCACTTGGAATGTTGCATCATGTAGTCTGGAAGCAGTTTACCGATGTTTCAAAGGTGCTTACAGCCCCGATGATCATGGTGATGAAAGGCCTGATTAATCATCTGATGACAGAGGCAGTAAGCACCTCTAAAATGTCAGTAAACTTCTACTAGACTACATAACACAAAATCCCATAAGAGGGTCATTGTCATATTTGCAGCCATGAGAAAATGAAATCTCACAAAAAATATGAAGAAGTTCTTTCTTTCATTCTTTATCTCATCCTCAGTGAGGAGATAACAGTGTGAATGGTACCCATTTATGTGTATGTATATCTATAAGTGTGAAAAAGACAGATAGTGTGCTGTAGCCCCCTCTGTGGCATATTCTGTTTCTTTTACATGTTCTCCTTTCAGCAATACCATCTTAAAATATAAACCATGTATGATACTTGATTTGTTCATTTGATTTCTAAGAGTTCTTGATTAACAAAACGTTCTTACATTATTAAAATAATTCACATGTAAGAACATGAACTATGAAAACAAAAAAAACATTCCCATAATTCTTACAACAGAAAAATGTCAGCCATGCATATTGCTTTTATAAATTTATTTATAAATTATTTAAAATACTATTATGAATGGAAATTCTGGTTTTCAAAGAGTTTAATACTTAAAAGAAAGTCAAAATCACATGATGCTAATTGACATTTAACAAGCTGAGCTGTGTTGCCTAGGTAAGACAATGACCTTCACTACACTGAAAACTTGGTCACCTTGGAAAACTAAGAGCGCAGTCTTCTTTGAACCATTAACAGATACCTCCAGGCAGATTATTTCAAATAAGGTAATAATATGCTGACAGACAAAAATAAAGAGCAATGAGAGAAAATATCGAAACCAACAAGCCGTCCTGACCAGAATGTTCCGATACCAGTCAGTTACAATTCAACAAGGAACTGAAATACTTTGTGCACAGTAATCGGACCATTTAGGTCAACATCCAAATAGGAAATTTTATCAGTTTGCTTAACGTAGAATCATGTGTGCAATATGAACATTCAGCAAGGGCATGTGAACTTTTAAATATGAGTGGTTCTAACATATCTCACTCAGAGTCTGATGCATATAAAAGTTCTCAACACATAATTTCATAAAAAATAACAGCTAATAATAAGTCAAATCCTGCACGCAAGAAGCATGTTTGATACTTAAGATCAAACCAATTAAATCCTACTTTACTCTCCTGAATAATTAAAATAAATTTCATATCAGCATAACATAAAAAAGTCCTAAGTATTTACTAATTTCATTGCATGTATCACCAAAATACACAAACGACCAAGCAAAGTTTGCTGTTTACACCTTCTACAAACAAAAACTATGAAAATTCTACTACATACAGATGGTTATGGGTCAGAAAGCAAGGAATTACATTGTTAAAAATTTTATCTTTAAACTTTTGCAGCAATAAAGACAAAGTAACGCAGGGTATGGCCCTAAAAACAAACAAAACTCATCAATGAAGGCCATCGTTCCTTCATATATGCAGCACATCTTTATAAGGAACAAATTATTACACAGTTGTGTAGTACCAAGACATAGAAAAATATAATTAAAAGATTTATAACATTGACAGTTATGTTTGATTTATCCTTTTCTCTCAAAAATTTCAACAAAGTATTTACTTCTGATCTCTTATATGCAATTCCAAAGCTCTTATAACCCATTTTCATCTCTTAAACAAAAGCATAAGAACTCTAAAATTGTCTTACCTGTCCATTTCTAGGTTGTTGATGAATTGATGCAACAGCTGCCATCTGTTGAGAAGTCATATGATTATTGAGGAATACAAGATGGTCAGCTCCAGGCTAAAAATCAAAACAGATGGAAAATTAAAAAGGACCCAGTAGACCATGACAGGCTGGGTACATAGAATGCATGAACAAGGTGATGTTTCATTTTCTCATTGTGGTGAGCATGAATATGATTGTCTTCCGGGATGTTATGTCACGTGGACTTGAAAGCAGATATCAGCGTTCTGGAGGAACATGCTGCCCCTCACTTCAGCCATGAATTCTGTGTAAATAGGGGTTACTCAAACATGAACCAAAATCAAATGTCAGGCAACTTGCAGTATAGGTCAAACATAACTGAAATCTATATAGATTCAGAGATTAAGCACATGAACAGACCATGAAGATGGTACCTACATCCAAGACCACATGGGTGTTACAACCCAGAAGACCAACAACAATGACTTACACTTGTTCAAGAATATATCCCATACTCTATTTACATTGTAACGCAAAGTGCAAAAACACACACAGCCCTCATTTATTTATTCATTCTGGACTTCATCCGTAATATGGATCTTCCTTTATCTTCAAGTACATAGACATCATCTGTCTCGAACCCAGAAGACCAAGCTATCCAGATCAAACAGAACAGGTGCTTCCCTCTATACCTGATGACGGAATATCAATCCTTCAACATAAATGTTTAAAGCTTCTTAAAAACTTTCAACAGACAATGTATGAAACTCAAAATAAAAAATACTGTAATACTATCATCAAAGACATTGAGGGAACAAAATATAGTCCTGTTTACCATGGCACCAGCCTTCACATAGTCTCAGATTAATATGTATAAGAAATATCAAACATGGTAAAACATTGCTGAAGTTATTAGAAAACTTAATCATATACTTCATATTTTCTTAGTGGAGCGTCATATTATAGGCTTTCTGCCTCACATTAACTAAGCATATGTGGCACTGACTGATTATTCATTGGTGTCACCAAATCTAGACTTCCTCATTCTGCTAAACTATTTGTTTCAGCCTTCATTTAACAACACATTGTCAACATTGGTTATACCTGGTTCAGTTACAGAACAATAAGTAAGAGTATACAAGGAAGCAGTCCTAGCTTGTTTCTGAAGGGACTGAGAAAAATCTCAGTCACAACAGCAAGATGAGTATCTAACTTGGAGCCAACAACTGAACTTAACGTTCTCTTGCACAACTGAGGGAAGGAACTACAGCAGTAAGTTCAAGAGCAGTTTAACATGTGAAATCTTACACCAGGTTCTTAATTTATGAAAATGTAAATGAAGTTTGAGTTTGTTATCCGGCGAGTCTCTGAACTGTGAAGGTAACTCAGAAAGAGGAGAAGGCGCAAAAATAAAGGGAGGAGGCGGAGGCAGAGTGTATGGGCATTACGTACAAGAAAGTTCCAAGGTTAGGCCTCAGTCTGTCTAGAACAACACAGCTAGAGCCAGATGCTTTACTGGTTTAGCCAGTTCACTGATCCATGGCACTCCAAGGTGACCTTCAGCAAGACACAAACTCAGGACCTTTTAGTGAGAATAACACTAACAACACACAAATCCCGAAGCAAATGACCACCTCATGGTCAGTACAGACATAGGCTTTATGTTTCTGGTGCTGTTTCCCCATCCTTTACTTTGATAACAATTTTATTATTAAAAGTAAGCCATTTTTAAACATGGTACAAATGATTTCATGTTGTAACACCCAGTGAGAACAAAATACACATTTTAAAACTAAGTGTTGAGGTGTTTATATTTTCAAAACCACTACTGGCTAGGTTGAGGTTTACTCTACAACAGGCTGTTCTTAGAATATTAAATCTTTTCTGCCTCTAAGTGCAATGCAGTTGTCCAGGATTCACTGTAAAATTCCTTAAATTACTTTTGATCCCATTCTTACTCATTTCAGCATCACAAGTTTGCTCCTGTACTCACACCACTAAGCTATGAAGTGATCTTTTATTTTGTAAATATATGTGGAATGACAAAGCAGGTTTCTGAAATACCAAATAATCGAGGTCCACCCAATTAAAATTATCCTGAAGTTTATCATATTACAATTGAGAATACCAGGAATTGATTTTCAAATTACCATAACTGTCTCCTACATCACCAATCAAAATCATCTTTCCATTACATTTGAAGCTTTTTAGACCAATGATGATGAACACCAATGCTAAATAATTGAAGACCCAATCAACCCCAAAACAGGTCATGACCCACTTCCTGCCATTTGGTTTCACTTTCGTAATCATTATATAACCCGATCACATACCCATGTCCTCATCACTCAACTGCCTTCCTACTAACCACTCTATCAAACATAACCACTGTGTATCTGGCTCACAGGTCACGGCCCACTCTGAGCTCAAGAGCAACTGAATGGACTGACCACTATAGAAAGAAATGATACAAAACCACGAGCATGAGAAAATGTCATCCTAGCATAGACAGCAGATTGTGAGGCCAAATTTTCACTCCCTAGCATAGACAGCAGATTGTGAGGCCGACTTTTCACTCTCTCTCTTAGTATTCATAAAGACAACATTCATTATAAAATAAATTTCCCAGTGGTGGTAACTAATAAAGCCATTCCTACACCATGCTGAAATTCCAAAACTGACAAAACAAAGTTCTTAGTAAAGCATATAACCCAACCCAACAGTTTTTCTTTAAAATCAACATGGCCCATGTGTACCACACTTAGATAAGCTACAAGTGCAAATATTTACTACTGCAACCAACCCACACTCTGAGAAAGGTGCAACCAGTCTCGACCAGCAACTACATTTCCGATAATCAGAAGACATATAATGCAAAATTTCATGCTAGAATACATTATTCGAGGATCCTGTTAATTATAAACCTCTAAATAGCACAAAATACAATACCTAATGTCTAATAAATTGAAATATGATAGAATGATACAAATTAAATAAAACTTAACTGCTGGTCACATCATATATTAGGCACCATTAACATTACAAATTTTAAAGTCCACCAAGTCTACCTACAATTTCATATGATAAAAATAAAAATAAACAAAAAATAAATAATATTTTTCACTGACTGAAGCGCAATTTTTGCTGCATAATGTTATCCTTGATTCTCTAACATGTGACATAAAATATAAAACATCAAATTTTGTTAACTTTGTGGATGATTTCTTGAGACTAGTTTGAGCAATGTTATTTCCTGAATAAGAACATTTGATAAAAACAAACAAAAAACTCTTTTAGATGCTAGTAAGGACGTTGGGTTACTATCATAAAGAAATGTATAGTACATGACTGTAATCTTGAGACTTGCGAGGAATGCAGGAAGTACAAGGCGTTAAAGGCTGATGCTATCTTTCCTCCTTCCTCCTTCACCCCACTTCCTCACCCTGCAAGTCTCAAGATTACAGTCGTGGAGTGAATGCTTATTTATGCTTTCCCACCAATCGCATCTACACCGCTATATCATCCAACAATCTTCTTCAGACTGTCAATGAGATTGTTTCACCAAAGTGCAGTGGCTGAATTCCTCACAGAGAAGAACATTTCAGCTGCAGATATCCATGGATGACTTCATCATGCAATCATATGGAGTTTCCTGCATGATTGCTAACAGTGTCAAAAGGTGGACAAAACACTTTTTATAAACAAAGAAGCAAAACCATAACTAATCAGTCACGGCATGGTTAACCCAAAACCGAGCGCAAATGAACACAATGTGTAGGCATGCTCATCAAAGAGGACTGAACGGTGACAGAGAAAACACATGACAGCCTGTTGCTGAACAATAAGTCGTACAGGAGATGACAGCAGTCTTAAGTTAATGGAAGATCTTTACAAATTCCTGCCTGCTAGTGGAAAAACACAAAGACGTGCATGGGTGTGTCAACACAGTTATTTCAACAACATAATGCTATGGACAATCACTTCCTGTTCAACACTGACTGGTGAGGAAAGCTGATCTCCCCTTTATGACCCAGAAACAAAGTGACACAACACACTGGTTTCCAAATAAAGAGAAAGGCCAGACAAAGTACTAACCTTTCTTTGCAAAACAAACAAAAAAAACAAGGCGAAGAAAAAAGTTTTATCGCATCATTTCTTCATACACATGTTCTTCTGCCATTGAAGAGTAATCTGCTCCTAAACTCCACCGATCACCACCTACTGCTTGCCCTATACATGGCTTCCAAAAATGTCCTGAAGAAGGTAACTGCAATGTTTTCCAAAACGTTGGATAATTTTAAAAATTCAATGCAGCCTATACACGAAAGCTGAAATTACACAATGAACTCCAACTGTAAAAACTTGATAACAAAAATTCCTCACTAAACTGGTTCTCATAAAAATTGTATTTTGGTCGCCCTCGGTGGACTTGTGATTAGCGTGCTCACCACTGGACCCAAGGTTTACGGGTTCAAACCAGGCAGAGGTCAATGGATTTTTAAGGGTGATAAAAATCCGCAGCACAACTGCCTTCAGAGGGGACGTAAAGCCGGCGGTCCCATGTCGTAGATTTACGGCACATAAAACTTCATGGGCATGAAACGAGATGTTTCGCAAGCAAAATTCAGAGGCCATTTCTCACCCAAGTCTCTCCTGATTCACTACTAGATGGCTCTAGCAGACAAATCACGATTCAGTAGAAATTGTGCAGAGGCAGTGGGCTTGTCACTCACTACTCATAAATCCACACTTCGAAGACAAAGAAACTTCCCACATGGGAGAAGGCCAAGGCTCAACTCGGGATGTTGCGCCATAGAAAAAGAATAACTGAATTTTGATTCAAAAATGCTTTCCCTGGCATGAGAACACCATCTACTTTGAGATTGCTGATGCATCTCATTCATTTACAACTTTGGGAATGGGATCTAAAGGCTTTCTCCACTTACATTTAAAATTCTGGTGGCACCCAAAGACTATCAATTGAGTTTTGTGTTCTTTCTGGACATGATTAATTCTATAGAAAAATACTACTCCCACTATTTAGTTTACTAATCACAAACTAGATAAAAATCATCAAAGTTTGACAAAAAAGCAGAAGCATCTCAAGGCAGAAACCAGTCTGTTTCTCTTGCAATGCTATCTGTAGTCAGCAGTAGAAAAATCAAGTGCTCAGTTATGAGGTTATTATGAACAATTTCCAGTAAACTATGATATTCCACTAACATAATATGATTTAGCTAAGGAAAAAAATTTCAGAGTTTCTGCTGCATTTCACCCTCTGAACATTTTATATGCTATGGTCCAATATTAAAATTTATATCAGGCCACAATGTTTTTGAAAACAGCAAATTCTTTGAAGTCTGAAAGTACACAACTTCAAACTCAGAACACGTAAAGAAAATTTAACAAATTCCAAACTCCTTACAAACCTAGCCTTAATGTACAAAATGAAGAAGTTCTGAACTCACCTTAACTGCAATGGGGTGCATTTCATATGGAATCATGTTATGCATGGGATGCGTTAATTTTGTCATCATAGGATACTTCCACTTCTCATGGCTCTAGAAAAAAAGTCCATTACGTTGAAAAAAAATACAGTATCATTACTGCACCAAACAAACTATATACTACTAAAATGTGTACGCAAGGTTTTAACATGCTGAGTCAAGCAATAAGAGCTAAGAATAAACCTCAATGAGCACCACACAGAAATATAAAATTATTTCATATGCATTTTTATATAACACTTCCTCAAATCAAATATTAACAGAGTATTCCAGACATGTAGTTTTCACAGTACCTGTACCAATATTACATAATGTAAATTTCTTATTTCGGGTCTGAAAACCTTCAATTTGAGCCCTTTGGTGTCCAAAAGTCCTTTCTGGACTACTCTTGCAAGGATATATTTTTACCTTTTTATGATCTTTCCTTATGTAGGAAGTTACATAAAATTTAATAACAAAAAATATATATCTTTAACTGCTGCAATGTTTCACAGATGTGCAGCTTAACAATATTCAACAAAAAACATACATTTAATTTTTCTGAGATGTATTCCTGAAAAATATAGTCTCTCTTTAACATCTTTTATCTAACAAGCTATTCACGAAAGCAGGGAGTCAAGGAGTGTCACAGAGACAGACCAATGAGAATTAGTTTAATAAATAATTACAACTCCCCAATCTCTATGTACCTCACCATTCTGATGCAATAAGTACACATTGCATGTAACTCAAAAGTACTTACAGTGAATTAATGATAATTATTTGGCATCTTAAAAGAAATATCCAAATCCATTTCTTCTTTGTTGAGAAAAGCCAAGGTAATTTCTTACATCTCTAAAGCACAGCTTGAAAGTTGCTAGCAAGGGCTACATGAATGTTTGGCATATTTCTACAATTCCAATGAATGCATTACATGACCCCTCAGATATCTGATAAAATGTTTTATATAAATTAACTGATACAGGCCATTAGATTCTTTTGACAGGGTAATTCTGGATCAGTCATATATATCACACAGCATTAAACTATGAATGTGCCAGGATAATTACAAACTTCAAATAAAGGGAATGAAACAGTTAAGACCTTTATCATAAGGTAATTTACCCAGAACTTGCACAGTGGTCAGTTTAACAACATATTCAATGCAAGTCATATCATAGCAAAACATAACCTCACATACAAAGACCTGAAGATTCACAAGCATTTGCATAATGCCTTTAGTGCTAACACAACACAGTTTTTCAATCTAATTTGTAAGTTTTCTTGCTTCACTCACATCAGCGATATCCAACCACAGTTATAGGAAAGTCAAGCATTATACATGCAACCATCAACATTTATTTTACCTACATTAAAATTATGCTTTTAAATTTCATATAACAATTGTTGCTCATAAAACCCATATACTGTTCCCATTTTCACTTTGTATGTGTGTACACATGGAAGAAGGGGTTGAGGAGGAGAGAAATGGTACTCCACAAGACATCATGTTATCAACTAAGAAACTGTGCCCTTAATGTCTAGTCTACTCTATGCATGTTAAATTTATGCATCTCATTTGGAGCACCTTTAAATTTTGTTAGAACCTTTTCATAATCTATATTTTAAAGCAGAACAATGGGACAGATTTAAAAACATGTTTTCAGGTTGGTTTCAAAATGGTAAAGAATTTGGATACCAGATGCTTTTTTCTATATTTAATAACATCTATCACTTTCATGCTGCAAAGTGATAACCTATATACTTACATCAATAATACTTTCATCTCCCAATGCCCATCGCTGATGTTGTTTGTTGAATGGTGGTGGAATAGGGAAGTCTGGGTCAGACTGGGGACGCTGGAAAACATAACCCACCATGGCATCATCTTGTGAACGAGCCAGCTGAGGTCGATTCGGATCTGGTATCTAACAAATGATACATATTCAAACTGAATCTAAGATAACAAGTGGGGGTTTCTACAACAAGGCCAATTTTAGAATCCTCATGTCATATTCTGTACATAACCTGCAGACATCCCAACACAATACTTACAAAATAAATTCTAATCTTCAAAAGTTAAGTGCCTATTTACCCAAGAAAAATTGAGGAATCTGATAGTCAATTTTAAGCTCTGATCAGATGAGCTTACAGAAAAAGCATCCTCTTAGCCAATGTACGATTATCACCAGAAGAATTCTATCATAATGGCAAATGAAAAACCGTTGGGGATACAACAAAAACCAATTGTTCTCAGGAAAAACAAAGTTCCTATATAACTATTCTCCATGAGGGACAGTTCTAGATCCAGGAGAACATGGCTACCCTGCACAAATACTTGTGTTTTTCATTAAGTAAAGTACCAATTATCTTTTAAAAATATATTTTATTATTACAATAACTTAAATAAACTATTGAAAGATGGCTGTGTTCTGACTGCCAGCACTGTGAAGTCCCACAGATAGTGACTGATGTTTCAAAGGAGTGTATTGCCTCCACATCCTAATGATGGAGGCAGTAAACTCCTCTGAAATGTCAGTCAGTATCTACCAGACTACATGGTGCCACATCCCAAATTCTTTCACAAAACAGGTGAACAATGACCAATATTCTCCTTATAATGTAGTAAAACAAACTAAAACTATGATTGTTCTGCACCTTCTAATATTCTAAAATATAGTAAAATCAATATGTTTCATCCAAAACTTGCTAGACAGGGAAACATAACTTAACTCTACTGAAATCGGGTATAGACTGAGAGGCTGGGCTAGTCAAAATGCCTTGCAGCTTGTCTGTGCAGGTCACAACATGACCCATCATGCCTAACCATTCAATATAGCATCAGACCATTAGCAAAAAAATGTATCTTCTCATCAATTCCATGTGCCAATAAGATTTTACAGCACTGTACTGAAATGATCCTCTGTGTTCATGTAAAACTTGCATGAATCTGGTGATACATTTTTCATAACTTCAAGGTCAAGGTCAAATGTTAAAATACCCTCAATATTATGGGTGGCATGCCCCATGAAAGCCAAACTTCAGAGTTTTCAACTGACACAAGAATGAGGTCTCTATCTTAATTAGGACTAGAGTTATAAACACTTCAGTTCTTCAGAACAAAGAAAAATTTAAGGAAAACTTACAATTTCAATTTCAAAACACTGGATCTCTGCTATTAACAGGTACAGGAAGGTAAAATTTCATACACATGTCACTTCCTAAGGAGAACCAACAAGTTTAAAAAAATTTACTAGAATCAGATAATCTTAAAAATTCTGCCCCTAAAGTATGTTGATTTGACATGGAATGACCCAAATTCCAGTCTTTGTGTATTGCAGAGGAAGTTGTATCTTCAGAAGTGACCATTATTAAATAAAAACACAGGATTCACTTCATTAGGTGTTGTTCTACACATATACCAGTGTCCCAACTCATACCAGCATGATATAACATTATCACTACTTACCAAATAATATCAATTACAAACATAAAAAACATTTTAATTATAATTCCATACCTCCTGTATATTTAGTTTCATTTACTTCTGAGATTTCAACAAGAAGTGGTGACACGAGGCTGCCGTAGTCACAAAATAATATTTCACCTGAGCTTATCATTTCTTCATGCTACTCAACAGAATGTAATCAATTGAGCCTATTAAACCTAAGTTACATGAATATTGTATTTAACATAAAAATTACCAATACTTATATCTATTGTCAATGTTATCATAAAAATAATTATGAAAGTTGAGGTTATGGTAATACTGCCACTGATTATTTACCAACAAAAGTTCATTGCCACGAAGTTTAATTACTTAATTAACTTAGAGGTATGACTGTGATACTTCATTAGAACAGTTTACTACATATTCGCAAGTTTACTTATGTGCAAGAACACTAACCTGTTGTCTAATTATCTGTGGGGATGACACATGCCCATTTGTGTGACTCAACATTCCGTTCGCCTCTCCTCCTGGCCACTTCATTTATTTTCGCTCTGAAAGAATTAGACGGCTTTGCTGAGAATTTCATAAAACATTATGCCTTTGCGAATACACTATTTGTTCACTAAGAAGTACCTAAATGACAGCTCGTGTTAACACAATGGAGAACAATAGGGACACGTTCTTTTGTAATAAACATTTACATAATATAATTTCAAGTTTTCAACACCTCAGTAATACATGAAAAACAGTGTTTGAAAGTGCGTACCTTGTCTTGCTATTCAGATCCAAATATCATCAATCACAATTCCTTTGGTTTAATAAGTTCACTACAACCGAGCGCTGCACAGAAATACGGGAAACTACAAATCGGTCCTAGTAATATATTTTTCGGTATACTACGTTGTCGATAACGCTTTCACTGCACTAAGACACTTTATAAATGTAATAAAATGCCGATATTACGAAACATTTTGGCAGCAATTATAAGATGATTTCGATAAACACCTCAATTTTCAAGCTTGAACATGCGACATATTACTTTCATGGTGCATGATGGGAACGTTTTGACTACAGGAGTGGGAATATTAAAATATAATTTATTTAATACTAAAACATGGCATTAACTTTCCCCGATATCCCACATGTGAAATAATTAGAATGATAAAAATAACAATACACTTCATTAGACATATTATTTTGTACTGTAATATTAATAGTTAATCTAACATCCAACAAGCAATTCTTCAAATTATTGAACACATCCCTTTTCCAGATGTTTTGACATAGATATGAGGCTCTTGGAATTTTCACAGCAGTGTCGATGTTGGTTAACAATACCATATCTCTTCTACTTCCCAACACAAATAAAACAAGACTATGATGGGCTTAGCATGTCAACATAATGTTGTTTTTCATTTCTGCAGCTGTTACACTACTTGAAATCAGTGTGGGTGTTTAACACTTCCTGTGTCCCAAATTTACTTACCAGTCTAGATTGTCTTATTCAGCGCTATTTTTTGAATATATAGACAGCTAAATCATTCACAAACAGCAGTAAACACTTTTATTGAAATATAATGGTATAACAATATAAAGTGACATCTACACTGCAACATTCATACTAAGACCTGTGAGGAACTGCAAGGTTACATACCAGATTAAGACTCATCCGGCAAGGAAATGGGACAGGACAGATTTCTGTAAATGAGTATTAGCTCCCTGAAGAGTGACAGGACAATGTAAATAACACACTTCAGAGGCATTGTCCCACATTTCTTTATCGTCATCATAATGTTGTCTACACTAATTATCAATTAGTTTAATTGAAAAGAACCATGTGATGCACAAGTGAATCATAATCTAGCAAATCAAATTATATCACTTCAACAGTTACAAATGAAGTTCCATGCAAAACATGAAACAAGGCTGCGTAACATCTTCAACTCTTACACCAAAGAATATTAAGGTGCAAAAATTAATACAATTGTAAATGCACATCACAAACAGAAACAGATTAGCTCAACATATGTTCAAAGAAACCTGTGCGAACATGGATATCTACAAGTGTAAAATATACACAACTAATTGCACTTACACGTTTTATGCCTAAGATTCTTAAACACTTTGAAAAGTGTAATTTCCTTACTTTTAGATATAACACTTCAATAAAACACTCTTCATTCATTGTGAATGTTATCTTACAGTCCTGTTCATACCAGAGTACCCATTGCATTTGTCATTTCCCATAAAACACAAAATTGGTTGACATTAGGGAGGCTTGCATTAATTAACACACATTCATAACAGTAAATAATTATAGCAACGAAACAATCCTAATGATACATTTCACTTCATGTAAAGTACATTAAGGTGGGATATAGCTTGTTAGGATTGATGCATGTCTGCCAGATGGTTTTACCTGCAATCCAAGAATGCTACAAATAACATACCTTGCTTTAAAAAATATTGAACCTCTTTCGTTACATGCAGAACAATACCTACAGAAGAAACTTATCTTTCTGTCTCTCGATAGCATTTAGTGTAATATACCAACAACCCCTTTTATTAAATCCTCAGCATGAAAAGGTTCCAGTCATGACCATCAGGTCTTACAAAACTGGGTATGTATCACTTGCAGTCAATATTTTGTGGGTACAAAATAATTTTTAAATATATTACACTGGACCCCATTTATGAGACAGATAATCACTATAAGAGAAAACAATGTTTCAACATTGTAAGGCATGTATTTGTATAGATAAATATAAAATACACACACAGACAGTAGCAAAAATGTAGTACATGATCATGAAATTCAGTATATGATTTTAAAGGCAGTGCAACACTATCATACCTAACTCCATGCAGCAGTCTTTGTTGAGAAATTAACTCGGCTAAATTTCCCTCAAACCTGAAAGTTCATTATGTTCACAACAGCACACCTCTACCATAGGCAAGGGACAAAATGAAGTGACAAACTGTTCCACTACTTCTGATGTTCCTGGCACATGAAGATAACAATGAACTAATCAGCCTTATTTAAAGGCCAGAGATATAGCAAACATACTGCTTACAGACAAAGGTTACCAGTGTGATTGGTTTCCTCATCTCCATGGATCTCATGCACCATAACGAACGGCTGGGAGCAGGACTGCAAACTACAAGGCAAGGTACACACTTCTGCAAACAGAAACATACACATAACAATCATTTCTAAAATATGCACTATAAATAAATGTACATCTCATCCACCATGAGACAGCAGTTTATTCTCAAATTTACAGTAATTTGGTATAACGGCCTTGCTTCTTAGAACTTTTGAATTAAACACTGCACAATAATGTACTAACAATGAAATGGTCAAGCCTTCTGTACCCACCCCCCCAATCAATGAATTAAAAAACATCACATGGTTAATTTTTTATTAAGGTTATTTATAATTTATTTAAGGAATGTTGACTGTGCAGAAATTAAATTCAAAACTGTAGGACTGTGGCTACAATTACATTCACAAACAAGTTGTGAACTGTCACACAGAATTCTATAAACTGTGTATATAAATGTATTTCAACAGCAGATTTCCAAGAAAACTATAGCATCATGAAAATATTCCTACTGCAATTTAACAAATTTATTACTGAAATATATCCCAAGTCATACTAAAAGTGAGTTGTAGTCCTTTGGTTGACAAAACATGTTTGTTCTAAACAGAAAACATAATGATCACTCCTTCCAAGACATCTTGCTGTTCTCTTATCTGAAAAGAAGAAAGTACATTCAGTTGTTTATAAAAGCACCGCACTAGAGGTGGGCAAACCTGAAGATAGGACAGATTCAGCCAAGATATTTATTGGGCATACTTCAAGAAATCATACATGAACCACTGAAAGCTATTCTTAATATACTTCAGAAAGATGGCTGTCTTCTGGGTTGTTACGCTGTGTAGTCTGGTAGTCGGAAATTGAACCCCGGTCGTCCAGTCACTTTACTGACTACCCCATAACATGTCAGTAACAGAAATAAATTTGAAGATGGCTGTCTTCAGACTCACTGCAGTGAAAACCTCCAATCATGCTTCAGAAAACCCTCTAGAATTGCCAGCAAAAATATTGTATCCTTTATGACCTCTATTACTAAAGAGTTTGTCCGACTCTTCTCTTCTGTATTAAAACTATAGATGTTGCATTACAGATGCTGTTTCATTGTTTATTTAAAGTACAATACAAGATTACCTTCAGCAATAAAGTTTAGAGTACTGATATTCTGTATAGCAGATTCCTTAAGGCTGTTATTACTGTTCATTGAAATATCACAAGAATCTTCAAATTCAAAACTTTCTGGCTTTGAAGACTTTTTAAAACTGTATATTGTTAAACATACATGTAAAGTGCAAATGTCTGAGGCTAAATGTGCTAAAATTATAAGTTAATTACAACAGATTAACTGACATTCTCAATGAAATTACATTAACACAAATATCAATAAAATGTATAAATACAATGGGTGCTCCAAGTATAAAAATCTTTCATGATAATCACTCAAAATACAACACACACAGGCTGATGGTGATTGCAATGGATGACAATCAATGAAAGGGTTGTTCACAAACACTTTGGTACAGATTAAGGCATCACATCTTGTTTCACTGGACATAAATACAACTGAAAAGTATGCAGTCTCATAGCAAGACTATGATATAAAAAAAATATTTATGTCTAAAACAGATGAAAATACCCAAGTTACTATTATGGCTGTCTACCTACATTCCTGTGGGTACTGGATCTAGCAGTGCAGTCAGGGCTCTCTGAAGGCCCCCCTAACAGGATAAGGGGTTCAAAATAGACCCAGCAGTGGTCTCAGTGCCTGAGGCAATTTTTCCCCCCCCCCCCCCCCAATTCAATTCTAATAATACCTACACTCTTCTAGTCTGTAATATATCAGTAAGATACAAAATACACTTCATGGGGTATTCCATACACATTTCAAGGTAATTGAGGGTAAAAATTATTTTTTGTTTCCTTAATGAATGTTATTAATATTAAGGTGACATGTTCCTGTCCACACATTTCTCATATTAACTATTGCTGTCAAACATCACAAGTAATTTTCTTTTAACATGAGCCTCAAATGCAGTAAATGCTGTTCAGATTCACACTAACCACTGATGTGTAGTTTAAATCTTAAATATATATTCAAACAGAAATAAACAATATCTGGAAAAAGTGTTCCTTTTTGAATAACAGCAGTAAAGGATATTCAGGAAATGGACATGTATAACGTTATGTAGCCACGAATAAATTATTTTTGACCTGTTGAGTCATCTCAGCTATTGCACACTAATGAAACCCAAATAAAGAAGATGCAACTCAGTAGAAAGAAGTAATACATAGAGGAATTTTATGACATTATAACTTATAGTTTTTATAAACAAAAATGGCAGTAGACAAGGAAGACATTTACACTATGAAGAGCTTCAAGACTTGCACTCTTCACACAAATGTTAAGGCAAATACATCAATCAAAATTTGATTTCAATGCCTATGTAAAGCCTTTTCACGATGTCTGATGACATTTATTTGATATAAACAAACTGAACTATGCTCTGGCATGAAAAACACATAACATAGATTAAATATCAAAAGATACCCCAAGTGTTTTTATTACTTTCAGACCGTCAATTCACAAATTCCAACCCAGGTGACGTATGACGAACATGATTTTTTTTTAAAAAAGGGGGATAATTATGGGTAAAAGTACCAATGTTAAGCAGAATTTACAATGATAACGTAATATCAAAACAATTTAACATGTTTATATACACAGCATGCAACATGAACAGTTAATTTAAAAATAACATGAGTTTGAAATAATGCAGTTAAACACAATTTACTTCAGAATTAAAAATATACAAAACAGCTCTGAAATTTAGACATTGCACAAATAAGTATGGAGAAGCTGCATGAAAAGGTTCTGCATAAACTGATCTCATAATTTGGTGATTTAAACTGGCCATGTAGATGTCCTAATTTGTCAGCCCTAAACTATTTATTGTGGGGTTATCTGAAGAGCTGCATACTTATAAAGCATTTACTGCAGTCACTTCCAAAAAGTGAACAGCGTATGTATCAGACTTAATTTCCAAGATTTCTGTCATTTTAATGTGTCAGTTATGTTATTCACTCAAACTGAATTTATTCTTAAATGAAAATAAGTCAGTCTTCTCTGTCAGACCCTGTATATCAACATCACAGCTCACAGCATAAATCACTTCAATCTGCATATTGCATAAAAATATGTTTATGTTAGTGACTTGGAGCACAACAGGTCGTAAGTATGTTAATATGCCTTTGAAGACAACCATTAATGCATATATGACCCACACTAATCTGAGTTCATGAAAGACCCAATTATGCATGAATTAAAGTTCTGAGTGAGGTTACTACCACATCCAACATGGATGGTTCCCATGTATCAAGACTCAACTGAAATAATTTGTCTTTAATGGCACTTATATGAATATTTTAAGGCACACTTGCACCAAACACAGTAAAACAGGTAAGTCTGACGAAGCACGTTTGGAAATGGCAACTGACAAATGTCTGCTTGTAAATTATATTTACAAAAGCTTCATCAACTGCACAGTTTATACATTATTAAACAGTATGCCTATGGATGGTGCATCATGGCCAGTATTTGCGTGGAGGGATTTAGGGAGAATGATCTGGACAATAACCAGGCTGAGAATCAAATTTGGGGCCCCTGAATACCCAACTGCACATTTACAGGATGACTACCTGAACCAGACAGCCAAATAAATGTGATGGGCAGAGTCAAAGATGTGTCCACTGTAGTAGAACACTGAAGGAAGACGACATAACAATTAAAATTGTAAAACCCTAATGAATCAGAGATTTGGAAATGAGAGTCACCTATTAGAGAATTAATTTATAATTGCACACAGGCCTTTGGTAAGGCTCTGACCTTTAAATATGTTATGTCAACATGTGCAGATGCTGGTAACTCATATGTCTGCCTCCTGTTTCATTTGTCAGTTAAAGTTCGAAATGGTTATGAACTTAAGAGAAAGAGGAAAACAAGTATAAGTTAGCCCATGACACAAAAAGAAGCACAATTAATGGAACATCATAAAACTGCATGAATTAACAAATCATCAAACCCTATTTTGGTAAATCATATTTCATAATTTTACTTCATCAAAAATTATTTCTTAATATGCCACAGGAAATGCAATATTACGGGTATTCTACAGGTGGGAGACAGAAGCAACAACAAAGTTTAACAATACGCAAATTCCAAAATTGTTGTAACACCTGCTAATGATGCAGAAGGGAATTACTTTTGTAAATATACTATTCTAACTAAAATACTGATATGCTGAGTCAACATCAAAACAGTGAATGTTCCACTGGCATAAATCAGAATAGGAAATACCAGTTTCTACCACTACTATTTTAAAACTCCCAATCAAAGAGCACAATAATGTTAACAGTTTCATGGCAAGCTATAGTTTGATATGACACTGTTCCACCAGTCAGCCACATCATCATCATCATCATCATCATCACCACCATCATTCACACACATACCATTAACGTGTCATCCAGGAACAGGAAATTTAATTCCTGTATTACACGGCCACTGTAACGGCTTAGCAATATGTCAGTGAGCGCATGGCTAGCTGGTCTGCATATAAGATGCTTCATGTGGATAATGAATGTTAATAATTACATAACAAATGAAAACAACTTAAAACAGATCAAAAACATGAACTACACATGTCCACCTACTGTGAACAAATATATAACTAAAATGGCAACCCATAACTCAGAAATACTTGTACATTCAGATTAAGTGACTGACATAAAACACATCATTAATCCATGATCTAGAACGGTAATGTGAAATATGTACAATATTAAATCTGTCAACCTTCAGATCAAATTTGTATGTAATATAACAGAGTCCTAGTACGAATGTTGTTGGCAAGATTAACCACTTAAAAGAAACTAAATGAAACATTTTCTTCTTCATTCCAATGCAACAAATATATTACTTCTGACCTCATAAATGTAATGTACCATATTGTACATTAACAGGCACCTATGGCTAGACAATGAAAGTTAATTACATGACAGCATTCACACATGCACGGCAATCAATCATCACGTCCGAGGGCAGCTGTGGCTATCTTCACATTCTGTTCAACAGGCACACCTTTAATGAAACAACTTTTAAATTCACTCATCATCAAGAATACTGAGGATCAATAAATCCATTAAAATATGTTGGAAAATCCACAAACTGTTAAAATAAACTAATATGGCCATCAAAATAGTTGCTACTTGCAACTTTACATACAGATCAGAACAAGACAATATTGACCTTTTACAGCCCAGTGATAACTAGATGAACCACCAGCTTTAATAACCAATAACTATTTGCCCACAGAGTGTAGGAATGAATTTAGTATCACTTGCAGAATAAATATTGTAATATCTTACCTGAAAACCATTAACATGTAATGAATTTTAATAAACATTGAAACTATAATCATGAAACTTATTGTGTAGATCGACTGTCAATTTAACAACTAATAGAGCCATTACACAGTTCCTTAGCCCCCACATTCAGTTTTAATAGCTGGATCAGATTAGTAAAAATCATGATTCATGGGACACAAGACACTAAATTGTAACACAGGATGCTGCATTTAAAACTCGACCAAAACTACTACACATAAGCCCCTCCACACACAAAATTATAAAAACCAAAGGCAATATTAAATTTTTGCAACAGTATCCTCTTGTTGGCATATAGAAACTGAGAGTACAATTATAATCTAAAGAATAAATGTTATGCACCAATGCATAAATTTGAAACTACATGCATTAATTAAAACACAGAAAAATAAATATTTAGCAAGCGGTGCCAAGTAGCCATTGAAGACTATGTAACAATGTAAGGAACAGTTAAAGTTGTAACATTATTACAAATTATTCATTGCAGACTATGGAAATTTCCATTACCATCACAAATATATTCACCAGAAAATAGTCGAAACCTTCCTTTCAAGTAACAATCGAAGATCCTCAATGATAAAAGCTTAACATGCCAGACGTTCGACAACTCAGCATAAAGAGGAAATAATCACCATAGTGCTATCTACTCCTTATCTAGTTGATATACAAGAGTTGTTACAAATTATTTTTGTACCTTTGACAATTTATTTTCAATAAATTAAGCTGCCCACAGCACTGAAGGTTTAACTGACATTCAAAGTTTGTAATGTAACATGCCTACTGCGCAAAAAGCTGGCGACTTGTGGTGCACCAAAAATAGTAACACATTTGCAGACAGCGAGCTGAGTTCTGCAGTTTCAGCCAACAATCTGGAAGATTGTAAGGAAGCATTTTCAAATGACAAACTACAATTTTCAAATTTTATTATAAGAAATCAAAATGAATAATGGCAAATGCTTCACTTTCTGTGGCATAATTATGATAAAAATTTCCAACAATGAAAATTTTCTTCCCAGTGTTGCAATCTGTGACAAAGCTAACTTTCACTTATCCAGAACAGCAATCCAAACTCTATGAGGATCACTTGCTTAGATGGCTTGACAGAGATGGATCTACAGTGACCTCATAGATGAAACTTCACAGGATATTTCCAGGAGTCTGTCAATGCCCTGAAACCTCGGTAAACTCAGAATTCAAGGTGCTAGTGAATTAGCTGACGTCCAAATGTTGTACACTGTGTGGATTGAACTTGATTATCATTTCATGTGTGTGTGGAGTGACCTATCTTCTCCTATCCAAAACCTACAAGTGGCAATAAACTCTGGTTTAATATGAGTAGTTTAGATTATTTAATACAAAATGTCAAAATTGGAAATATAATTTGTAATAACCCTCTATAGCAGTTATGTAACTTAACTCTATGAGAAACTGATACCTGGCCTTACAAAATATCTGACTTGAGTCCATTAATTTATGAAAGCAGGAATCCTCGATGCCACAGTGATAAAATGCTGACCCTCAAAATTCAGATGTAAAGAAAAATAATTAACCAAATTATTTGTAATGGAACCGAGACAAGCACTTGGACACTTATTTTTTTTCTTTCCCATTCATGATTTATAAGATCCACTGAATTGTTTAACATGGCAAACACATTTCACACAGAATACTGCAACTCATTCACACCTCAACCACAGGTACTATCGGACAACCTGGTAACAGTTACGCTTTGTGCTGCACCTCTGATATCTGTATCGACTGCCAACAAGAATAACACTGCTTTCTTCTGCCAACAAGAATAACACTGCTTTCTTCTCTTGTTCATTCTGGCACAGCTGGCTTGTAGATTCATTTCTCAGAATGTAAAGTCAAAGAGATCAGTAAGTCCTTCCTCATCACCCAAACTGAAGCTGTAATCTGATTCAGACAACGGAGGCTCAAGGGTGAGGAAGGGTTCACTGCTGAATGAGCCATGACTGGACAATCCTGATATGTCAATAACAGAGTCACTCTCTGCACAAAAAGAAAAACACAATTATTAACAATAACATGAACAGGACTTGGCAAATCATGGGAGCAAGATCACTATAGTGAACTGAAAATTCACCACTTTTCCATATATTATTTGTTTTCCTCATTTATCTCCATACACAGAATCCTTCTGGGTGTTAAGAACAAAAGTTTCATTATAAGCAAACTGAAGAACTTCAGTTGTAAATTGAACCTCTATCAAGAAATATTACATAAAAAAGTGTGGATTATCAAAGCAGCGACTTTAAAAAGTGTACCATTCTCAAGTTTCTGTACATCATCTTGGAGTAGCAACAATGCCAACAAATCATCTTATTTCATTTGCAGTACTGAAGTCTATGCAAGTCCTGCACCCTTGATCTTGGCTTCAGGATAACATGAATTGCACTGCATTCAAGTTAATTTGTTCCATAGTCATTCATGTACTTACTAACATTTGAGAATGTCTACATCACTGTCCATTCACCACAAAATTTAATTAAATACACAGTTGAGTACTTGGCACAATGATTCCTGAATTGAGGAAAACAATAAAAGATCCAACAGAGTTTTTGATACTTTTACTTGGTCAACAGGAAGCGTTGTGGAAGGATGTGATGTCAGTGACAGAATATAGTCTCTGCACTGCCAGAAGGAACTTTTACCATCAAATGGCATACCTGCAAATTCAAATGACTGGCATGTCAATTAAAAAAATCATTTAAATGCCTACACAGGTTAACAAACCTTTATCAAAAGCAAATGCAGATGTACTTAGTTAACATGAATGACCAGTCAATGGGAGGGGGAGAAAAAAATGCAAAGGAGTGGTCAGTTCCGGAATAAGGCACAAACGTGGCAACGAGCAGCCAAATATAAAAAAGGGTATGTATGACATTTGAGTCTATGTTCTTCCCGAAAATTTAAAATCCTGAAGAATCAAGAATTAGCCTGATGTAATTTCTGGGCTGGCTCCCATACCAAAGCAGATTACTTTTGTGAATCCTGCCTACGAGAATACAATTATCCATTCAGCATTCCTAGTCTCTCCACCATAATCAATCCCTGCAAACAGCTCAGTTCTCCTCTTCCTGGCCTGCCACTAAAATCAAGCAACATGCAGGGACCAAAGCAAACTCCACATTTAATGCAAGGAAGCAAGCATTAAAAGGTAATGCAGGATCTGCGACTCTGAACTAAGCTGAATCCCATGGTGCTACAATCGGATTCTGTGAAGCAGCCATGCAATCCAGCTCAGCCAAGAGTGCATGCCACTGAGCAAAGCAAAAATGCACACTACCTCCATCAGAACACAACATATGGTACAGCATCTTCCCACACAGAAAACATTCAACCCAAGGTTTTGTTTCAAAAACAGACAATTTTCACTTACAAAAACCCCAGCGCCAATGTAAAGCCACACATACATCAACCAGAACATAAGTTGAACTTTCACTATAATTTCTTTAATTTGGTAATTGGTCTGAAGGGCACATACATTCCACTGTATGTCTATATCCAGAGTCAGTTCAATTTACCTACTAATTTGTCATAAATCTCACTTTCCATGTTTGTCTTCACATAAATTTATTTTTCAAATTTCAAACTGCAGGTAAGCTCCTGTACATTTCAATAAAAATTCTCCAGAACTCTCTACTTATAGTCACAGCCAAAATTGCAGCAATACCACTGTCTGTGGGCATTCAAAGTCCATGTGCATCTACATACGATGAGAATATATTAATTTGACAATCCAGAAAATTAATTCCTAACACTTTTTATGAGAGCATTCCCCATTTAAACTATAAAAACTCAAAACTCAGTCAACTGTGAAGCACACTTTACAGAGCCACAATAATTACTCATGAAATATGTAATAAACTTCCTGGTATCAGAACCCACAGGTTCAACACCGACAACACCAAAGCCCGCCAAGAAATATATAAATCCATAAATTAATCAGCAAAGACCAGCAAATGCAGAATCCATGCATAATGTAATGCAAAGCTCACGAAATCCATGAACTGTGCCTAGAAACATACAGTACATCCTGAAGCAGTCCACAAGTTAAGGAACACCAGCAAAAGTCCAACCACAAGGACATCCACAGCTGCTAGCCTAAAGTCGGGTCCACAATTGTGCATTCAGCAGTAACCCAACAGCGAATACACATGTGTGGACATTGTTGCTGCAACATTTGCTCGTTTGGTTTATGGCAAGCCCCAATCCACGATGCCGTTGGTTCTTCGACGAATGATGATATTACATTATGCCACTAATCAATGTGGGCATTCACCAGAACACACACCTGAACCTCAGGATCGTGTTGTATTAGAGCCGAACACACACGTGTGGACCTGGCTTTACACTTCAATTTCTGTAGATTTATAGACATAACTCAGAAAGCAGACACTGAAGACACATGCAAAATACTGGTACAACATTAAAATAATTTTGAACATTCAGAAACCCCAATCTGGTTTTTCAGTAGATCAGATATATGACAAAAAAGTATCACTCAAAATTACTCATATCACCCTGTACTATGGCACGTTTCAAGAAACACCATGTACGTGGTTTTGGCATCAAATTCCACTCCGCACTCACAATTTATTTGCAGTTTGCAACTGTAAACATGAAATTGATGCTGCTATTCTTATTATTCTCATTTTATTTTTTACAAAAACCTACTTAAAATTGATACATTAACTATGTTGGACACAACCTCAAACTTTTGCACTGATGCTGTGTTGGATGGATTATGACAAAATATTCTGAGAGATATATAATCCAAAATGGAATTTCAGCAGTTTTATTAGGAAGTTATATTTTCACCTTTATTGTAAGGAGATATCACATTTAAAGCCCCGTATTACAGGGCTTCTGGACAAATTTTAGGTCTGGGGTTTTAATGGTTCAGTAGCATGCTAATATGATGCACGGTCATCTGAACTGCTTATGACCGGCAAATTAACAAATTACACAGTTTAACTCTGGACAAATCTTCTTTTAATAAGAAATATAACCACAAATATGCAACAATGGAACTTAATACACAATTTTGTTTGTTCCTACATTTTGTAAGACCTTCCTATATGCATATGCCATATGTTACAGAAACGCAGTACAGCATCCACTTCATGCAAAGTTAGTTCTTTACTGCGAGCAAGATGTAAGTAATGTTATATAAAATTCTTCTAATACTAATGTCCTTGTTAAATACCAGCGTCCACACTAGAAACGGCATCTTACCTCAAAAAGCATCTGTAATGGACAATAATGTCTTGCAGCTTCCACTGTTAGTACAGAAAATGCACAAAAGTTACAGCCTGCAGCAGATGACACGCTAGTAACTAGAACTCTGTCTGTGATGTGACACCAGCTACCGCACAAGGTCACAGCCAGAGTTCCGGCACCAACGCACCGTACTAGGCAGCAAGCCAAAGCACATTCTTTTAAACTCGCATGCAAATATCACACGGCCAATAGAAGCAGCAATATTAGCATGACTCAAAGAATCATAAATAAGCCAATTGCAAAGATGCTAATGTTAATGGGCATAAATAAATGAATAACTCCATTAACTACGGCAACATTCCAACATAAATCAGCAGTTTCATACATACAGAATCTACAATTACATTATTCAGCTATTCTACAGTGCTGTTATCAACCATTGAAAATATTTAGTTTCAAATGACATGGTAGATTAACATAAAGGACTGGGAGAACTGTAGGGTATAGCCATGGCTTACTTTAATGTACTATCTTAGCATTTGCATGGACAAAAGGGGGCACATGAACAGCCTATGTAGACCATGCATAGCAGGAATTCAAAATGAGCATCTTCCAGTATCAAACATATTTATTATTACCACTCAGTCTGAAAACCGAAGTTGAAGTGCAACATTTTGTCAAAAAATAACCTATATCTTCAAATGAACATAACTTAATTAATATGTTAACTGGTTAAAGTGCATAACTATCTGGTGCAAAACAGTATGGAAATTTAAGCGCATTCCTTAAACATCAAGTTTCAAATTTGTGTCAATCTACAATTTGCAAAGAAATTTAAAAGTAAATGTTCACATAACATAAATGATGGCCAGTAAAAGTATAACAAAACTTCTTTTAACAAGTGCAAAAACAGCTCTAGTGACTATTAAAATTCTGGTTTTTGGGTAATTTCACAATTTACATACAGACAGGCCTGAACTATTGTACAGACTTACTTTATTGTAACATATTCACGTATAAGACAAGATAAGTAGTAAGTGTTTATACTCAGAAGTGACGCTTGCATTATGAATAGTAGCCACACTGTGTGGTGCTGCTGAGAACTACTTGACAACAATTTTGCAGAATAAAGCATAAAGCTAAGGTGATAATCAAAGTTACAATGTTCAGATCTAATGATTCAAATTTTCTGCAGAGCTACTACCAGGTGTTATTCTTTATTCTTAGTGCAATTACTAATGAACAGAATCCATCTTTACACATAAGAGTTCACCATTTTCTATTCCTATGCTTTACATCCCATAAACTAGAAATAAACATTGAAGTCCCCATATACATCAGCACTTACTGCATACGTCCCTCAAAAAATGATGACCATCATTACCGGAATTGAGCCATTGTCCTGTTTGGAATACACAGTTTAAAATGATTCCCTCTAGCTTGTCAGATATCATTGGCATCTTCTGCAAATTGGTTTACATTGATACAACAGCTTCAGAACTCAATTTCCAGGCATTCCTTCCAAATAATCTAGCCAATTCTTTTTGATTACTTCCATTTGAATATAATTATTTTTGTTTCAGAGGTCAATATTGTATACATAAATTGTACTACACTTTAATTTTACAAGATAACCCAATAAACCAGGAATGTGTATATAGATAAAAATGGTTATTCTGAATGGTGTGATGCAACATTCTTGGGCACCATTAGCTATTTTGTATAAATTTTACAAACTTTTACTTAGAGTTTAGGTGTCCTTAACTCCAGATAAAATTAAATTTATCCAAAATAAAATCACAAAATGTCAATCAGATCTTCTTGCAAAAAATTCCATACTGGGCACATATAAGCCATACACTGAACTAAAAGCATTGTTTTATATACATTATTTTACACTAAATTTCTGCCAAACCTTCTAGTACAAATCAATGACTGAAAACAATTAGCAATCCAATCTCACACACCACTTACCAGCACAAACACAAAATACATAAAAACCTTCACATAATGAAATGAAATCCCCAACTTCTGTAATCTGTCACATAAACATACTTAAAAATAAATGTGAAAGCCACTTCATGCTGTGTTCCTTTCCTTCAAATACCATACCACACATACAATGCACTCATCAGCTGCTTTATGATGGCCCTTGGCAGGTGCAAGAGGGCAAAAACAGAAAAGGAATGTATCCAGTGAGGTAATTAAAACAAGTTCCATAACTGGTAGCAAGATGAGGTAGTGGCACTACAGCATCAAATATGATGGAAACCATTAACCTTTCATTACCAAGTGACAAAATTCCAATGCAATATTAAGAAAAATTTGTTTAATTTTGAACATAAATTATTTTTCTTAAAAGTGACTCACTGTACCCATACTTTGTACTAGCAATATACTAAGAACTGATATTTACACTTGCTAGCATCACCCCACCAAAATCCCAAACCTCAACCTGCCTCGCTCATGGCTATCTACAAACTGACAACCAGACCTCCTGAATGATGCGTTTTTTGTGAAAAGACCTGAACATTACGGCGCAGTGGAAACTTGAGGGCCGTCATCAGGTAAGAGAGTAGTACAAGCCATGAGTTTCTCACCTGAAATATGACTGTTGTGTTGATCTTCAGTCTGCAGCTGAAACCTTCCACCACCCATTGGTTCAAAGTCATCTGGCTCTGATATCAGCACATTATGTATCCTAGAAAGTACTGATACGGTTTCTACGTCTTCGCTCACCGGTTCATCTTTTATCACAAAACTCTGTGATATCTGAGTTTGTTCCAGATCCGTATGACTGCTTGGACGAGTAACAGCAGAATCTTCGGTAGTATTATAACACACTACTGACTCAGATGTACTACTAACAGATATTGTTTGTTGATGAACATACTCAACAGCACCAACTGCAGAACATGAAGGTATAGGTTCATTTGTAGTTCTCGAAGTGTCATCACTATTTCCATGATATTGTGATTCGTCGCGGCATACGAATACCTCTATTTCGCCATTTTCACTCTTCATATACATCTGTAAGCCCTACAACAAAAACCCGAATACATCACTTCCAAGGTACAAAAATTACACCTAAAAAGTCATGTAAATCACTTTATAACAAGTCATATGTAGCAGATGCCAAACCAAAGAATATAACATTCTTTCTTCTGTTTCTACTTTCCAACCACAGGAGAAGTAAAAGATGCAGAAAAATGCCTCTAGAGTGATATCTACCATAAAATATGATTACACGCAAAACAGTAGTGCCCACACCTATATGTACAGTTGTGATACTGAAACATGCCCAAAACAATGAACCTGAGGGTTCGAGGAGGTGCATGAGACATGTAATAGTTATATGCAGTAATGTAGGTAGATGGAATTAGCGTCCTGTTTAGCTGTACAACCCACTAAATGGCACTCCCTATCAGACAAGATGGTACAACATAAATTGATGTTTGAGAAACTTAACCAGATTCTTGAGTTCTACAGCAGAAATGAAGTGCAGGTTAAAATATGCAAGAAAAATAAATTTGAAATTTAACTACAAGAGGTTTAACCCCTTCATGTTTGAAGATGGCCGTCTCCTGAGATATAGCACCATGTAGCGTAGTCCAACACATGGTGAGCAATGTTTTAGAGGAGCTTACTGCTGTAATTATCAGGCCAGACAGAGGCAGCAAGATCCTGTATGTTGACAAGTTGAACAATATCTACCATACGAAAAGGTGCAACATTCCAGACGACAGCCATCTTCAGTCCTAAGTCAGCGTCGAGGATGGAAAATATATTAAAACAATGCAAGTAACAACATAAAGAATCGCTATATAAAATGCAGCACCTGCTAATTTAAAGACTCCGCAACCCAATATTATTGAAACATGTACTCTATTTAAAAAATAAACTTATACTAACTTGACTGGGATGAGGCACTTGCAATTTCGCCTCTGGTGGTGCCTTGATGGCCATGATAGTCTGATGCTTGTACTCGGAAATACCTCGCAAGTCCTGGTATGTTATGTAGGCATACCGCTTGTCTTCACTCAGCTGCCGCAAGTTACATTCTGTGCCAAAGTGATTTGATAAATGGCATCACATTCCACTTTACACATTTAAAGGAAAAGAAAAACATAAAATTCAGCTAATTGTATGGCCTGAAAACTCAAGACTCCAGATTATTTACAATGCAATTAACTCATTGCGCAGACTGAAGAATGTATTTTAACAGAACAAGTTAGAAACTATGCACACAATTCTCGTATGTTTGTCAAAGTACCTTTCTTCTACATTTTTAGCCAGAATTGTGCTAGAAGAAAAAAAACTAAACACTAAACCAGATTACCATAAAATACATAATCCACCTCATAATACTGTAAAATGGCATGAAAGAGATGGACATACTTAAGAATTTATGGCATTCCATCCTACCAGCATTTGTAATCAGCTGATCCAGCATGTTTTCTTTGGCTTCAAGATCTTCGATATCACTCTGCAGACTGCCAGCTGACATACCACCTGTATCACAAGGAATCTGACCACCCCTACGAAATCAAGCACAATAATGGACTAAAATGAATGCAGCGGCTGGCTGTCTTCAAATACATTTCACAGTATACCTAGAAGTATCTTGATTGTAACACAGAACTACACAGCAAAATGTAAAAATATCCTACAACAAATATCTTCTAAAAATACAATACACAGTACAGCTACAAATACCCATCGTCTCAGATTATAATCTTACAAATTTGCAAGAATCCTCACAGCTGCTCACACATTAATTTATGGAAAATCAGGATGACACTGACTATGTAGGATTTGAGGTTTTCAGGGTGATGAGTCTGAAGATGGAGGCAGTAAGGACCTCTGAAATGTTGGTAAACTTCTACCAGACTACACGGCACAACAACCCAGAGGACGACCACCTTCTGACAATGACTATACTGACCTTTCATAAATTTGTGAATACACAATAAAAAAAATAAAAAAATAGACCACCAGAAAAATGAAACAAAACGTACAAACTTTACGATAAAAATGACAAATTTACCTTGACAATGTTTTTTAATCCAGGTCCCAACTTTCCCCCATTTATCAGTGCTCTACCATATTTATAAGTGGTTGGTCAGAATGATTAAAAACCCTGCACATTTTCAAAAAGCTGACAGTAATACCCACGCAACATTGAAGTTCACAGGAGCAGACAACTCATCTATGGCTCACCGTAGACCAGTAACGAAAATCAGGCCAGTGGACATAAAGGTAAGTACTCAATTTAGATAATACAAAGTTTCCTGTGTAATCGACATCCAGTGTCGTTTTTGTAAAGTACAACCATCTATGCCTTAAAACTAACCATCGTCCTATGAATCGTATGATTTAATATGAAATAATTTATCTGCCACTGATGATGACCTCTTGAGGTCGTTTGGCACCAAGTGTCTTTTTGAAGTGTAAACAGTTTTGTTTGTATGCATGATTTTATATATCAATACACTGCACAGTATGCAAGGCTTTAAGAAAGTAGGCTTGTAAATTCAAATAAGACTTCGGATTATGTGCATTTTATACAGGTAACTTGATATGTGAATAAATTTGGTACAGGCATCTTATAAATTATTCTAAAGAACTGCAACTGGCATTCAAGCACAGCAACACAATTACATGTACCAAAAATATACAAGAACAGTAACCTCAATGCAAATAATCATTTCTAACTGCATACAAATTAAGAAAAATGGACATCCAGTTGCTTTACCTCCACTGAATATTATTCTTAGATTTCTTCTCTAAAATGCCAATCCCCTCAAGCACATTCGTGATGTCATAAATTCGTCTTTTCTGTACATCAAGGCACTCAGAAGCTACGTTCAGGTCTACTACTCCATCTGGCGATGACTGGAGTAGACCAACAAACTTCTTGGTTAACAGACCTAAAGAAGTGTCATATCGTGTCCTCTCCACAGGTTTACCTGCACATGGAAATTGCGAGTGATAATGCACATAAGAATTTAATATATCCTTTTTCAAAATAAAAATAATTACAACTTACCAGCTGCATGATGACAGTGCAAGTACCCAAGTAAACCATTAGCTGACTACAATACTACTAGATTTCAGGCCAAATTTTAATATTTTCTCTCTTCTCATACACAGCTTTTCTAGAATTCTGGTCATACTAAATTAAAGAGAAATCAATAAAAAAACTTTTGTAATGTTGACTGTCATGTGTAGCCGATGGGTCTCGACTTGTGTGAGCTGGAACACGATCACACAGCGATAAAAAATTACAGAATAATAATAAAAAAATAAACACCGAAGTTACACGAGAGAATATTTCATTACTGGAAAAAGTGGTAAACCAGCTCATATAATAAAGCTATATGAAAGTTAACAAATTAAAGTTGTTCTAAATAATTTGCATTCCTTGTTATAAAATTACCAGGAAGAGACTCCAAATTTCAAACTGTAAATTAATAATTATCCTTAAGCTACCACATTTAACTTCAATGCAACATTCAACTTTATCCCACATGACAATTCCCTTTTGGTTGTGAAATTCTGTCTCTTTAAGTTATAAAAACACATTCTTGTTGGTCCGACAGTGTGAAGAGTCTGAAGTTTTATAAAAATGTTACATGGCTGCCATGCTTTTGCAAATCTCATGATTCAAATGAGACTTTGACACTTGTGGCAACATTTCTCAATTTAAATGGTCAGAACTAACTAACTAGATGGCTTACCGAACCCGAAGGTTCATCACCGCATTAACCAAAGCCCTCCACCAGACCCTGTCCTGGGCCAACAAAATCCAGTTTCCTTCAACTCCTCTCTCCCATAGATCCCGCCTGAGATTATCCTCCCATCTACGTCTCCCCAGCGGTCTCTTCCCTTCAGGTTTCCCAACCAGTACCTGGTGCACACCTCTTGTAACATCCATGCGCGCTACATGCCCAGCCCATCTCATTCTTCTCGACTTAATCACCCTGGCAATACTGGGCGAGGAGTACAGATTTTTAAGGTCATCATTATGCAGTCAGAGGACTGGAAAAAGTGTTTTATGAATATAAAAGTGAGTGAGTGATTGATGTGCTGGTAATATTTGCAACCCTTATATGTATAGTACATAATAACCTAATCCTCGTGATTTCAGAATTTCAACTTAAAATTACATTCTTTTCATAAAACAGCGAAAAATAATGCATTGCGTAAGGGTAAAGGGTTGAGATCCTTAGGCTGGGAACCACCACACTGCAGATATCAAATTCAGATGCTTACTCAACGCAAAACTCTGGTATGGGCTCCGTTAAAACAGCATGCTTCATATCTCTAAATCCAAAGCACTGGAAAAAAGAACAAAACTATGTGGAAGAACAACTAAGGCGACACTTTCTATGGAGGGGGAACATACGCAACACAGCTTTTGATGCGGGACTGGAGTTTAAAGTTGAGGCCCCACTGGAATTGGAGACAGTGCGTATTCTTTTGGTGGAACGAGGAGTCTTGAATCCCTCTTCGCTGGCAGGAGATGCTTCAAGGTTTAAGCGCCGTTTCACCGCCTAAAAGAAAATGCAAGTGTGAACCACCTACTATCTGATTCCTGCAAACACAGAACTTAAAAAGTTTGATATTAGTTGATATATTTAGAGCTTAACAATTGGTCAATTGTGCAAATTACTGATGTGACTTTTGCGCATACTAAATGTCCAACACACTTTATATTCATTGAACACTACTGGGGCTCAGTCATACTGAAGCTGAAGATCGATGACAAGGTGGTGCAGACTAGCCAATTAAAGGCTGAGTTTGGGAAAAGGAATACAACCCTGTTTCAGCCACATAAAAACAGGTAATACAAAAGTCCCTTGCAAGGGCCAGTTCACAATTAGGCAGTCCCTTAATGTGACTGAACTAAGGACTCCAAAAACAAATTTCCCCAAGACAAAAGCCTGAATATAAACCAGTGTTAGCTGATTTCCAAAGCATAAATTTCTTTACATACTTATATCCTACCCCTAGACAATTGTAAGACTACTTCAGTCTGTTTCCACAATATCCGCCTCAAAGCTATTCTCCCATTTCCTTCCCAATCTTCTCAAGAGATCCCCCAAAAGTTCTGCACACATTTCCTGTCTCCCCCACAGTAACACTAGGAGAGAAGTAACAATCACAAAGGTCATAATTATGTAATACCCCAAACTGCTACTCAATTTACCCACCTTGGGTTCAAACATTTTCTCCACGTCTTTTGTTACATCACAGTAACACAACATGTTTCAAAGCCATACAAATTGCAATGAACTGATACAATCACAAATATATCACAGGCAGCGAGAATAAGAAAACCTACACTCTTTGTCAGCCTGTCAAGCACCATCTGCGATTCTGCCTGAATCTCTTCTATCGTCTCAAATCTCCTTCCCTTTAGCTGAATTTTCATCTTTGGGAAGAGGAAGAAGTCACACGGAGCTTAGAAAGGAAGTTGGGGTCGGTTCTTGCAAGATCTTTGAGCTCCTGACAAACGAGAAGTCGATTCTGCTTCTGGTCCTCTGACAGGATGCGTCGCATGTGGAGTTCTTCCTTTAGAATCAGCTGACATGTCCCATAGCCTATCCCAACAATGTCGCACAAGTCGTTGATGGTACGACGTCGATCTTCGTGAATGGCCTGCCGAATCTTGGTAACATTTTCGGGCGTTGTGCTCGAAGATGGTCGTCCAGAACGCTCGTCACCATCGGCAGAGGTTCGGCCATTTTTAAAACGTGAATGCCACACAAAAGTTTGCGGACTCCCCAAATGTTTGCTTTAGCATTTCATAGGTTTCCTTAGCCGTTTTGGCGAGTCTTTGGCAACATTTGATGCACACGCCATTCCGAAATCGCAGGAGGGTCGGTGTAATGCACTACCAAAACGCCCGTAACTAAGAAACAAATGCTAATTCGATGATGCCGGCTGGCACACTGATTCACTATGAATGTAGGCCGCACCCCCTAAAGGCAGAAGCTCGTACTACATCTGGTTCGCCCCCAATTGACACAGTCTTGAAACTTTCCGATCTCACCTCGTATTAACTTGAACATGGCTATCTTCTGGGTTGTTCTGCCGTGTAGTCTGGTAGATGTTTACCACTGTTTCTAAGACACTTACCATCTCCACCATCAGAGAAATATGCAACCCAGAAGACAGCTTTGAAAATCTCAAATCCTACAAGCGAACTTACTCGCGGTTTCAGAAACTGAAAAGAGTGTTTCCATCACTACTTTTAGGAATACACAAAAATAATTTAGTATGTAATATATATATATGTATACACATATAAATATAAAATGAAGCATATGCACTTGAATCACTAAACAACCTGCAGAACAGTCCCAGTAAACTCAACAAATACAATGCAACAAATTTCTTCTTTCCTCAGGAATTAAAATTTAAGACACTAAAAGCGGTGAGATAGAGAATGTAAAAAAGTATATATCAAGCCACACATCTTTAGCATTAATTAAAATGGCAAACTTCAACATAAAAATTTCACTCAGAAATTTTATAAGCCATACTTAATACACTTTTAACACAATTTACAACTAATAAAATTAAGCAGATAGAACTGTAATATTTACATTTGTATTCCTCTTAAACCCAAAAACCATGTTAACAGCACTGAGAAGATTCAGAACAGATCAACTGAATTCCTTAAAACCCAAGACGTGTTCAAAAGTCCTATTGTTTGGAGAACATTAACCCCTGTGGAATTAAGTTAATTTGTTACCTCAAAGAATTCAGCCACATTACTAACCTTAATAAGACTTTCAATGATTCAATAAAATTTAGATTATGTTATCAAGCAAGAACTTCTTAGCTAATGTGTCAGTTTCCTACCTATTATTTTTTATACACTCAAAAAATGTTTGTAATATAGAAGGAACACATTTAACCATGAAACATGCCGAACAAGAACTCACACAAGAGTCCTATACCTGAAATACATAGAAGCATACCTCAGTCCTTGGTGGAGCTGTGGTAGGTCTTCGAATGATCTGGTGTTGAGGTGTCTGACCATATTCATGATCAAGTAAATGGTATGATGATGGACTGATTAGTGTCAGGCCATGATGTGATTGTGATTGTGCCACAGTGACATCACCATTATTACTGACCTCCATATATCCTCTTGAACCTATTATGAATAAATTGCAATTAAAACTTAATTGCATACAACCTCATACTAAATATTTGGGGCTGTATGTACTGAAGTTCAAAATACACTCTGAAAACTTTCAACTGTAAGTGACCAAAATACAAACCCAGCTTTGTAGAAGCCATATCAGGAGTAGCCAAGATTCGTGAGTCATCTGCCAAAGTCACTGCTCGCCGAACACGAGGCATCTTTGTGTCTAGGCTAGAAAGCAAGACAACAAGCTTGGTTTAACCTATGTTATTCAGATGAAGCTCAACACATCACTCAAAGCAAATGACGACCACACCTGAAATTGGAGATTAGCTTTCTTTTGAACCAAGGATTGGAAAAGGCCACAACCCTTTGTAGCTACTTCACACCAATCACTAAATTTATATGAAATACAAATTTATTACTACACTTCCTTGAAAAAACAAGATCATGAAAAAGCAATAGGTTAAACCACCTACAAAACGCAGAATACTGAAAATTTTCAAAGCTATAATTATACACACCTTTCTCCTGTATAAATTACGTTTTAAAAAGTCCAACGTAACGCATATATCCTGGCAACAGTAAACAGATTACGATAAAATATCTTAACATTAAAAGCACGTGTTTAAATAATTGCATAGCAGGGGGCCGTGTACGGATTCCACAACGTCTGAAGGACGAAATCTAAATAATGAAATGGGTTACCAATGAAGTTTACCGTACTACGCCATGGTTCACACGCGTCAGTTTCCACCCATGTTTTACATATCATAGACATATATGAAGTGAACTTTAATTTACGTTTAATCTGGCCTTGGCTGTTTATTTATGGTGCATCTTGGTAAACCTCGACTTCGTGTACATTCCGAAACTAAAGAACTTCATGGAGTACTTATGCCCACGTTCATAACAAGACCGTTACCTTGAATCATTACTTACCCTTGCGACGATCAACTACAAACTTCAGCAGTGCTTGATATTAAATTTCATTAACTTCCAAACAATTTAAACGCTACATGTTCACAAAAAAGATCCAATGATGCCGAGCATCAACGTGTAGTCTTTTGTTTTGTGATTGGCGTACAAGCCGCAGTTACCGCATAATAATCAAGCAAATTTCCTTTATATAAATGACTTTATGCAGAAAAATGGTCTCATTAAATGTTCATGAGCATAATACATAGCTCATGTGCAGGTACGAACTGCTTATCAAGATTTTATAATCGGCATGTACAAACGCTTCGAAATCACTCGCCACAAATCAACTTTGCGTGGTTCCAGCCATCTGCTAAAAACAGCCAGTAGCAACAATGAATGTGGCGCGAAGTTGTATTTCCCGCAAATAACGTATTTCCTACTGAGGCCCTAAACTAAGCATAAAGCAAGGAAAGGACAGTGTTTTATTCACAGATATTCTAATCTACTGAACTCAAAGTCGTCGTGTATTCAGTTAAAATGATTTAAATAATTGCACATTTTCCGTGTTTTATGTTCTATGTTTTAGACCTCAGACTTTGACAATACTTAATTTTTGAAATAAAATCCCTATTATTGTCATTTTAAAGTGAACACTAGAGGACAGCAGTGTTGAAAAATGGTGACCGAAGAAAACAAACTAGGTTTCTGACACTTTGTTTCTGTGTTTTGAGAGTGAATTTAAACCTACATGTTTGTCAGTATGTTTGAAACAGTTGTATAAATCTGTGATAAAGTAATCAATATTATTTTAGAAACATGTTACCTAACGTGTACACTGTTTCTTGTTTTATGTACAGTATTTTGAATGACAGTGCACTTCAGTTTACGAAGATAATAAATCTTATGCTTATGTCATTTATTATCGACTCTACGAAAGAATTTACGTTATTATTTAAGAAACGTTTTGGCAACAATTCGTATTGGTTTTAACGTTGTGCTACTTCCTTGTGCTTCTATGCACGAACATGACATTTTATGCCGAAATCGTCGTATGTGAAGGCGCATACATCATCTCTATCAAGCTGAGAAAGACACGAGCACCATGAATGGCCATATAATATTGAACACCCCTATTATCGTTGATGTTTGGAGGAGAGACACAGACGAGGTAAAATATTTAATCAAAACTTTAAATAACTGAAGATGAATTATTCTCTGATTGTCACATTATAAAGCCACTTATCTTCCTTTAGCACACTGCCAGAATTTATGTTCAATAAAACATTGGAACAGCTGAATTAAGAAAAACATACATATACATTGGAATTTGGTCTCCTTTCTGAAATGAGCAACTGCAGTAGTTCAGTCATGAAGCAACCAATTATGCACTCTTTGGCCTTTCTTCACTTGCTTGCAAAAGTGTTAGAAAGTTCTTCCTTTACTGCCATACCCCAAACTGTTTCAAGGCAAGTAAGAGCATCTGTCCTTGATCCAGTAACAAGACTATATAGTGTCTCAACTTGGAAGATCTCAAGCCTCCCTGCATTTTTATTCTTAAAAGTGGTAACCTTATGTTTTGCTTAATTTTGCAGTACATTCATTTCCTCTCCCATTGTCATGCTGACCACACAGTTGGCCTGACATCATCATGGAAGCTTCCAATTTACACAACCAATTTTAATGCATGGCTACTACAAAAGAATTTCAAGGTAATGTATAACATATTTTGATCATTATTGTGTAATCTTTAAAAAGTTCCTTCAGGGATCAGTATTGTATCATAGAAGGTGACTGAAAGGGAACCCAGTGCCTGGGGGTATAACTGGGCCACCCTGTCATTTGGGGACAAATACAGAGACCTGGTCACCCAGGTTGGAGGTTGTGAAATCCAAAGAAGTGAAAACTGTATGGTCTAAATCACAACCTGGCAAACTAAATAAAGACTTGAAAGTAAGCTCATGGAATGTCTTACCATAGTACAGACCCAGAGCACATGAAATGTTATGATGATGTTAGAGCTCTGAGGGAAAACAAACTGAAAATCATGGCCAGGAGAAGACAAATCTGGCAGAATCTTCTAAGGAAGGCTATGGCTCAAAAAGGGCTGTTTTTCCAATGATAATGAAGTTGTGGAACTTTTGTCTGAAAAGTTTGTTTTTGGCGTAGTTAAATAAATTTACTTATGTCTTAAAATAGAGTGTAGGTTTGCATGCACATGTATGCGCTACTTGTATAATTCTATGTACAGAGAAAAATAAAGAGCAGTATTTGATTTCAGATTAAACCATTTCTGCTGAGACCCCTCAGTACTGGAGACAGCCATATTATCAAGGTTCCTGCCACTGGACAGGAATTTACTGTCACAGTGATTGATGCTAATCATTGTCCAGGATCTGTTATGTTCCTTTTCCAAGGTGAATAGAAATTTTATTTACATTCCTTTACTTTATACATTTTGTATTCACACATATCTCAACTTCCTTAGTATAATTGCTCTCATATTATGTAAAGGCCCCAGTATAATGTTTTCCATTCGTCTCTTTAATTCTGTTATGTCCAGATATTTTCCTTGACCACTTCGTTCTCAAGCACTCCATTCCCTGTTCCGTTCTCAGAACAAAGACTCGACTTTGACATCAGAGCAAAACTACAGGTAAAATGATAGTTTCATATATGTTAATCCATTATTTTTTAAAACAAAATGAAACTATAAATAGGATTTCAGGTTTTCATAGTGGCGAGTATGAATGTGTAGCACTGTGTAGTCTGGTAGAAATTTATCATCATTTTAGAGGTGCTTGCTGCTTACAACCTGATGATGGAGGCAGCAAGCACCAACAAGGTGTTTAAAAGTACTGCTGCAGGACACAGTGCACCAAGGGATTTAAGTTCCTTTGCTGAAGATTTAAGCACAAGGGAAGATTTCACAATGAAAATATTTATAGAACTTCAGATAAATACATTACTTCACAATACAATTAAAATATGAATACAGTGTGGATCAACCTAGGAAATGGGCCATGATATCCATTTGAAGTATAACACAACATTGTGACTACATCAGATTTGTGGAGGGTGGTGGTGGTGGATAGATAGCCTATGTTCTTGACCTTTGTTAATAAGAATATGACTTTCTGTATTGTACATCAGGCATTTAACTAGCATATATGCTAAAAATAATCCATTTACCACAAGCAGTTTGAATTATATTGTTTTCAGGTTCCTTTGGTACAATACTGTACACAGGAGACTTTCGCTATGACCCAGTAATGTTGGAAAATAAAGTGTTGGCACATGTTATAGAAAATGAGGTATGTAAATAGATTCTTTACATCTACATTCAGTGGCTTTTACATGATATCTTCTTGTAGTTTCCTTATATGGTTACATCCAAAACCAAAATTAAGTGAAGCCTATTTGATTTTATTTGGGGGGAGGGGGGTTTAAGTTTTAAACTCACTAATGACATTTTAATTGGGCAGTAATTCCAGTTCCCTAGATTCATCCACATTCACTTTTGTACTTTGTGATAGTAAATACATAAGTTGTAGCTGATGAAATTAAACACTTTCTTAAAATTTAATTCTACACACATATGTATATATAAATGTTAAATAAATTATTATTAAACTAATCTAAATTGTTGTGCTTATTTGCCCAGAAAATTAGTTTGAACTCAATTATGACTTCCCGTGACAAATTGTAATTTTAACGTAGGATTCAATGCTTCCAGATCTTTTGTTTCCTTATCAATCATATTTTTAAGAAACCAATTAACAGCGGACATCGGGGGCTTACTGTAGTCTGACAACCTGAAATTCCCATGATGGTCAAATGAAACTCTTTTCTCAGCAGTAGTTAATTCTATAAAGAAATTAGTGTGTAATATAAAATATTGCTGCAGAAGTGGGTTTGTATCTGCACTAATAAACACCAGTATCGGTGAAGAATGCAATATTGTAAAGAATGCACTTGGAAAATTATTTTTGTAAACCAACCTTAAAACATGAGTTTTGATACCTTCACTTCTCAGTTGCTTGACGTCCTCTATGTAGACAACACATATGCATCTCGAGAATGCAAGATTCCAAGCAGAACGGAGGCAACACAGAAGATCATTCAGATAATTCGGTAAGACAAAACCTGTACATCTTACTGTTGGATATTAGTTCTTCTGTGCCTGACTTTTTACAAACAGTCTTGTAAATGTTTCCAGAGATCATCCACAGCACAATATTCTGCTGGGTGTACGATGGCTTGGAAAGGAAGAACTGCTGCATAAAATTGCTTTGGAATTCTCTGTATGTATAACATTTATATGAAAAATGTATGAAATTTAATTCTTTCCTCCCATTTTACTGAACATGGAAGCTCCATGATATTCTGAGTATTTTATATTGAATTCTATGACAGACCACCTTGATTGTACTTTTCATGGTGCTCCTCAACTCTTCTGGATGATGTAGATTAGAACCTTAAATACTTCATTCCATTCCTATTAATTCACTGTTTCTTATCCTAAAATCATATTTCACTAGGGTAACTTTCATAAGTTTTAATACCATTAAATAATGTAAGGATTACTTGCCTATTAGTGCTTTCCTTCTTTGGATGCCAAAACTCGCTTTGATTTAAAGATATAAAGACGTATATTTTTTGCAGTTGTCACGACATGCTCCAAGGAAAACATTCTTTATGCCTCATTTCATTTTTAGAAAGTAGATGGAATGTCAGTAGTTTTTAACCTGAATAACATACGCATTTCTATTTAGTACTTCATCATGAGCTTCATTTTTGTTTGCTGATATAATTCCCAGACATTTACATTTTTAAACATATTCAAATGATTTATAGGTTATGGTAGTATTATGACAATCATATTATCAACCTATTGTCTGTTCAGTTTTAAATTGCAGACTTTTGAATCATACAACTGGCCTTCTTTCTTTCCTTTTACTACATTAGGATTTTAAATTTTAAGTTTACTGTGTTCTTCTATGATAGGAGGAGCAATGAGATTAGTTTATATTCTGACCTGTAAAATGTAGTGTTATTATTCTCACCTAACAATTTAACACTAAACACAGCCACCTGATTTAGGTCATTAACTAAATCCACTTGATTTACAATTGTAATTTTGTCATGTTAGGAACAAATCTGCGTGAATGAAGAAAAACTGACTATCTTGAAGTATCTCCAGTATGAAGGTGTGTTCACAACTGATCCTGAAACGTGTCGGATTCACGTGGTCAACTTCCATTCTGTGACTGTCTCATATATGCAGAAAAGGTTTGTACATAGTATTCAAGGTGTTTTTCAAATTGCAGTGTCTGCTGTAAGTATTGCACTGAATTCTTTCTTTCTTTGAAAAGATATTTCTTTTCAGTAGTGGTATTCTAGGTTGTGACACTGTGTGGACTTTTAGGTGGGTATCAACATTCTGTAAGAACATACTGCCTCCACCTTAAGCCCTGAAGAAAAAAATGATTCCTTTCATCCCTGCCTTCCAAAATTATAAATGGATACTGTAGAAACATTTTTTGTTGTAATACACAAGTCTTCTTCTATCACTTATACACGTACCCTGTGCTCAAGGGTTTAAGTAGCATCAGAAACAAAGTTGACATAATTTTGTTAACATTAAGTTTTTATGTACTTGAGGCAGAAATTCATGCTAGTATTCAGAATAAAAATATGGTACTCTCAGTTGGTTTTCAAGCCAGGAAATCTGTTGTCTTTTGCTGGGTACCTGGCCATGCGGGTCTGCCTGGTAATAAGACAGCGTCTAGCTGCTCTACATGGAAATGTGGCATCTGGCTAAACTCTAGGTAGTGATATTTATGCTTCTCTTTTTCATGCTGTTATATCCTTGTGGTAAGATGAGTGGTCTCATGTGCAGCATAACAAATTGATGTAAGTGTGGGAGTTACACATGGACGTGTTGTGTGGTGAGCCAGCACTTACTTGTGTAGACTTATGTATTTCTTACTGTTATACATACTGTGGTTGAGTACCTGCATCATGATTAAAAAGTAACACATTTCATTTTCATGGCACATTGTGCAGCATCCTTTAAGAATATAGCTGTGGCATTTCTTGATGGCACAAATATTTTGTTTTTAAAACTGCAAATTCATCTAATAATGCATATACCATAATAGAGTATGTCTTTGGGTTTTGTATTTTCTCACCTGTTGTATATGCATTTACATTATCAGATTCCTTTCATACATATATTTAATTTTCTGATTTTAGTTTAAAAGACATTTAAACTTACTTTGGTTTCTGTTGACAGGCAAATGATATATCCACACATTGCCATTCTTCCAACTGCTCTTTATAATGGAAGATGTGCTTTTCAAGATCTTCTAGTTCACCGTGGAGTTTATGTTATACCGTACAGTGATCACAGCCCTTATGAGGAACTCTTCACTTTCATTTCACAACTGAAACCTTCCGAAATACATCCCATCATTAAAGAAACAACGATACATGAAAAAGAGAAAATATTGTCATCCCACGAGTTTATCAAATCATTCAGTATTATTCCAAAAAGTCTGTATGAACTGTGTCGTAGAAGGAAAATGGAGGGTGTAAGTTGTCAAAATAAAGAACAGACAACATACTGTCCCACAGAAAACCTGACTGCATTGCCTTCACAAACATCTCATGAAATCACACACACTAAATTAATCAGCAGGCCTCGAATTACACGGAATAAAAAGCTATCAAAAGCCTGTGAAAAGAAAGGTGTGCATTTTGACTCATCTTTCACTTCTGATGAAGGTGGTGAAACATCAGAAATTGACATGAAGCAAACAACAGACTTAGAAAGAGAAGAAGTCATAATAAGGATATCTGAAGGAACACACACAAGGGTTAAAATACCTTATAATGTAAAGAATAATTTGTTAGATGTTCAAGTGAAGCTCTTTGATATTAGCACATTCTGGAAAGATGTTTCTGGAATTTTAAGTAAATTAAATGCTAGAAATAGAAGAGCCTTTTTAAGAGATTTGTCATGTATGCATCATGGAGAGAGCCCTTCTCACAACAGGGATATTTCTGCCAGCTATGAAAACCTGACTTACAGTTCTAACAACAGTAATAATTCACCTGAAAACATGGACACATCAGAAGGGCCAGGCAATCACACACTGACACATGACTCTGAAAACTCATTTCAGGACATGTCATTGTCATATGCAATGTACATAAAAGATGTAACAATTAAATCAGAAAAACTCAGTGACAGTGACTGCATATCCATATCTAGTGTAACTACAATAACAGCACCACAGACAGTGTTGTCATGCAAAGAAGAGAGAGAGGCAAATCGAGATGCTGCAAATATTGAACATTTTGAAGAAATGGACATGCTTTCAGTGAAAAATGAAAATACATATTCAGATGTTGATACTGAAGATCTTCAAAGACGTATTAACAAGGAGATATGGAAGAATGCCATAGTTATATTCCCTGGCGATTCAGCTGATGATAATAGATTGTGTGAACGCTATGAATCAGATAATGCAGTAGAAAACAGTTTTGATGAATGTACACCGTTCATTTCCGAGACTCTGAAATCAACTACAGATCAGCCATCTCGGCAGAAGAAAAGGAACAGGGCAGGTACTAAACCGGTAGGCAGTAACTCTGACATCATGCAGAAATCAGATACACAAACAGAAAGCTGCTCTGAAGTTAGCCTTGCACCAACATTGTTAACCTGTTCAGCTGTACAGTCTTTTGCCAACAAGAACCAGGTAGCCTCAGGTCCTGGTACACATAATAATAAGAAGAAGAAGAATAGTAGTATCATCATTGCTGAGGAGAGAAGATCAGAGATGAAAGACAGTAACATGACCCTAGATGTGGAAAACGGAGACACATCCAATACAGCTACTTGTTCCAGGAACATTGCTTATAAGAAAAAAGCAAGAATTACATCAAAAATTTGTAATTCTCATTCCTTTGAAGCGTCGCACAAGCCAGTGGCATCTCTTGGGTTAAGTGAAGATGAGAGAGGAAAGGTAGTGCCTTGTAATGGGGTGGAAGGTCCTATAAATTCAAAAAGCACTGAGCTGTTATTCCACATTTGTACATCTGCAGAGGAAGGAGCTGGTTGCCTCTTTAAAGATGATCATGCAAATTCAGCTTCTGACCAGAGTGACTTTGATCTGTTCTCTTCAGACAATGAAAAGGCAAGAGAATTCCGTGTCAAACTTATAGAAAATAATTCGAGTACATCACAGGCTCAACTGTTTCCAGATAATAATGACACATTACACACTGACCGAAAGCAACATGATACAGGAGTCCAGTGTGAACTACTTAGTGACTGTCTGTCAAGCTTATGCCATAAGGAAGTTTTTCCTGCACCAACAGAAATTTGTGTGAATAAGGATTCTACAAACATAGCATCACCAAACTCTGTCAGAATAATGAATTTGTTACAAAATGTGGAAGTTCTTATTACCGAATCAGATGCCACATATAGTCTTCAATCTAATGAAAGTGAAGAAGTTAATTTTGGAAAGGTACATGCTTATTCAAAACCAACATTAGAATTGGGTAAGAAGTCCGATGTTTCTAATCTTGGAAGTAAACTCTATAATGAAAGCAGCAGTTCAAGAAGCACTGATCTTATCATAGACAGTGCCGATGTAGATAAATCATACAGCCTCGAACATGGAATTAACTGTGAAAGTGCTGGATTAAACAATAAGACTGCATTTACAAATAGCATCTCACACAATAATGACTACATAGATCCCATAGCTGTTCAAAGCACGGGTCAGAATACAGCGATTATAATTACAGATAACTCCTCTCAGAATTACAAAAAATTTAGGAATGTCAGAAATATACGTCACAATAGCACAGATTCAAACACAGCATTGATAAGTGAGAGTGAGGCATCTGTGTGTCCAGAAAGCCACATCATATATAACCCATCAAGAAACGATGTGGACTGTAATTACTGGACAAAATCTAACAGAACTCCATTTGCAATGGCTGAAGTTTTCCTAGCAGCACAGAAACTCTTTTTTCAGGAGGATGAGTTTCCTACAGTAGCACCACACCTTAATTACTCTAGTGAGTGTAGAGTTGTACCTGAGACGTCAGATGATTTGCTAAGTGACTTTGGAGTTGTACCCGAGATGTCAGAAATATCAGCTAATTTCCCATGTGAAAATGGAATTGCATCCAAGACACCAGAAGGATCAGCTTGTTTGCTAGATAAAAATGGAGTTTCAGCTGAGACACTAGAAGAATCAGGTCATTTGCCAAGCAACAGTAACCATGATATTATACTAGACACAATAGGTAAAAATACAGTCACTACAGAAATGTATGGCTTTTCAGAAACTCTGCCACTTGAATCGAGTTTCTCCACTTTGAAGGGAACATTTCAGTATGATAAAAAAGAAAAGTATAAAGACATTATGCAAATTAAAAACAGTAAAAGTATGGATTTAATGCAGAGGAAAACTGTGTCTTCCAATGAAGAATTGCAGAGTATTATGGTGAAGAGAGAGGATGAATATTCAGAAGAATCGTGTTCCATCGAGCAAGTTACTGCTTTAAGAAAACATTTTGATTGTTTTATCAAGAGAGCAGTAATGAAAGATCACATGTATTGTAAAACTGTTCAGAATATTCAGATGTCATCACAAAATGTACGTGAAGTTAGAAGTCCTAACCAAACACTCATAAAAGAAAGTCATGTTGAACCATGTACTACAAGATTTGACATATGTTGTAATAGAGAAGGTGTGCCCTTAAATGAAAATGCTGATAGTAGGAACTTATTACACATTGCACCTAGATTTGACAACTTTTGTTCCACGTCAGGTGTTTTAGATAGTTCAAATCACTGTCAGAATCCAGATAGGATACTTAATCAATTTAAGGGAAATGAATTAAGTAATCCCAGCATTTTTGAAGTTGACAGAGTGAAGACTGATTTACCTGATGATTCATTTACTGAAAGGACTGTTGCTAAGGAGGAGGATAAAGGAAGAAAAAGTACAGAGGTTAATGAAACTTCATCTGATGATGACCCGTTTCCTTCTAACAGAGTGATGCATGTTACCAGGACATATGGAAGGGCCAAATGTTCACAGGATGTCAGGAAACGTGTAATTCAGAATTCACAAAATCTTTACACTTCACCCAAAAATATACCATCCAAAACTGATTCTAGGGATTGGAAGTCATATACGATATACAGAGTGATTGGACGGGTTAAAGTAGAAAAATCAGCTGCTCAAAAGCAATTTAAAAACCAAACACTAGTAAGTATACCCCGTTTGGGACAGTACAAAAGAAATCGCAAGCAGTCAAGTTCAGAATATTCTTCCAGTGTCTTTAAGCACCGAAGGGTTAGTGATGGAACATAACTGGCTCACATTTGCTTGCCTGCTTTCATGTTATATACTTTATCAAGGTGGCTGTAGACACATTAATAATACATGACACCTAAAATAATGCAGTGATGCAACAAATTATATAACTATTTCCTGAAATTGACACAAAGTTGTACAAAATATCCCTTCATCTACACATTACAAACTTTGATTTGAATAACAGAAGCATTTTCTTGCTTTCAAAAGTGGGATGTATGCCATATTTGATAATTTTCTAAGACACTGACCAAAGATAAGAATTTTGGTATGATAAACTATAAAAATTAAGGAAAACAAAATTGACACAGTCCACTGTTCACACACAGACCTTGCAGAATGCTGCAACTTCTGTGCACTCTGGCCCCAATTTGTTTATGTATACCTACAATTATATTTAACTCTTCATGTAAAGTGACTGTCAGTATAAGACCAGAATTGTGAATGCCAGATTTTGTCCAAAGTATAATTATTGTGTGGACAGAGTGATGCTATTAAGTGTCATGACATGTACCTAAAACTTGCAGAATATGAAAGAGTGGTGTCTGATTTGATTTGAACAGATACTGTAGAATGCTTGCTCATAAAGCATGGCTAAGGTGAATAGACAAGAAATATCAAAATTGCTGCCCACTTTTCCTTAATCAGCAGTTTCTTGTGAGTTCAGTTTTAACAAATTAATTTTGTTTAACCTTCAACTGTCATGCAGGATAGCACCTCACCTGCAAGATCCAAATATTAAGATCTGCATGCATTATTTCAGTCATTACATCTCTCCAATCATCAATAATTTACATTAATATTTTTCACAGTGTTTTATGTAAGACAGTTTTGTCAATAAGTATGCAGCTATCAGGTGAAAAATGTCTATTATTATGTTTGTAGTGTTTCTGTACATGTATGAGTCACCTTCACACAGGGTGTAAATTGGTACTCTTATATAAAAGATATTCCTGTATTACACATAATTCACATTATGTTTCCACAAACTTAACATCTATTGGTATTAAGTTTATTTCAGAACATGCTATATTTCACTTTTAGTCATAATAGTTTTCTTTAGAACATGTTTTCGTTTTTAATTTAATTTAATAAAGTTTGTATAATTAATATACTATAAGACATGGCAAAATGTTTAGCACTTTATTTTGTATTTGGGTGGTCCCAACTTGGCCCAGAGACTGCTTATCCTGACACGTTCCTCATGGTTTTGCAGAGGTCCTCCAGCCAATGACAGGTACATATAGGTCACGCTAGTAGTAGTGGGGGTTGCACAGCCTCAGCTGTGGTGACGCACCGATCTAAACACAGCTAGAGCTACAAACCAACTGAAGCTGACACCCCTCTAGCGCGTGCTTTGGACAGGTCCATCTCACATGACCAAAATCAGTCCCTTGTGTAAGTGCCAGCACTTCCTGCGCGACCTATACAACCATAGACACTGTCTGGCATTTATACCAACCAACAAAATCCAGACAGGTAACTGGGATAGTATTTTAAATTTGGCTATGACTGCTTCCTTTCACATCCTTTCTGATTCATTAATCATTTGATGCTATATGGTCTGATCTACTGACATATCATTAATAGGCTATAAATATATATTATTAATGTATAATACAAAACATTTAAATATAAGACAAGTGTGAACACATGGATTTAGGGTGTTTTAGAATGGTCCTGAGGAAAATATATGTACCTAAGACAGATGAAGTGAGTTATGATGATCAAATCAAGAAGGATAAGCTGGATGGGGCATGTAGCTCACACATGGGTGATGAGAAATACATGTCAAATTTAGGATGGAAAGCAAGAAGGAAAGAAGTCACTAACAATACCAATGCATAAATGGGAAGACATATTAAAATGTATCTTAAGGAAATAGGGTGGAACAGTGTGGACTGGATTCATCTGGCTTATGACAGGGACTGTTAGTGGGCTCTTGTGACCACAGTAATGATCCTTCAAGTTTCATATAAGACAGGGAATTTTGACTAGCTGAGTGACTATCAGCTTGTCAAGGACTCTGCTTCTTGGAATCATTTTGCATTATGCCTTATGGCTTAAAGAAAAAGTTTAAGATTGGGTAAATTTTGGGGCCAAGTAATAGACAGGCATATGAAAATCAAATTAAAAGTGGGTATTCCATATTTAAAAAATGTGAATACACAAAATATATTGAGGCAGCAATTTAATAAATGGTGCAGGCCAATTAGATTACAAAATAGCTGAATGAGATCTCAAGAGTTATTACCTTACACTGTGGACCATTGTTAAATATGTATAAATGTGTTTTGATTCAAAATGTTGCTATCCACTGGAAGGGTGTATGCCACTTTACTTTCCAGGGTAATATTTTATACTATCTCAATAATAATCACCACATAGCCATTCTCGGTATTAAACTCAGCAAACCATTATTAATTCATAGTCTATGAGAATTCACGCACTCATGTTAATATTGGTAAGCACAGTTTCCGCCTTGATTGATTATGATGGGCTGGCTTAGCTAAGATAAAAACTGTGACTTGCACTCTTCAGTATTGTATAATTTTTGTAACCCACTCAGAAATAAGTAGTATTACTCACCTGAGAAAATAACATGACTTTAATAAAAATCTGTTATAAAAATATAAACATTTATAGTGCCATCTGTAATAAAGTTGCTTTTTCGCTTCACAGTGTTGGCTGAAAACTGCTTAACAGATTCTAATTAAATCTGCTATTGTCAATGTTCCATTACAATTTGTTAATATTCCAATATTGGTTACAGTCAGAGAATAACAGACACTTTACATGCAGAGGTAATTGTGAATGCACTACTAAAGTTATACTATGCATACATTTTGTAACTTATTACCTTATGCACACTTACCACTTTCTGCTAAATGTCAATGATAACAAAAACTTCAAACTTTCCTTCATTATCATGTATTTGCATGTTTGAATAGGTTATTGCTTTTACTTCACTCCCCTGTGGATGCTTTCCAATCTGAAATTCTTCACCATATGCAGCAGCTCTGATGTGAAACTTTGTTCTATCAAATTCCAAAATGCTCACTTTCTGCAACAGATGAAACAGATGCCTCTTTCAGGAAAAAGAGGAAATGCTGTAAAACCCTAAACATGATAATGTGGTAGGAAAAGATTGGATGGGAATAATCATAGCGGTAACTGCTCCTCTTTATTACCTTTCCTACCTTGACTTTAGCCGCAGAACATTATCCAAAATACTCTATGCAATTTACATCCTCCTGAAATGGGTAACAGCAAGCTGTTCAAAATGGATGCATGATGTACAAAATTCATATACTTTCATGTGTAAGCAAATGCCAAAATAACAGTCCTTGTGTGACATCTAAAATAAGTGTGCACACAGCAGCCAATCCTGCACTTAATCTAATATTCTAAATTATTACTGATAACTTTCTATCTTCACTTAAAACAACTGTATACAACTACTCTAAGCTTTATAATGTATTATTACCCTTGCAATAAAAAAAGGGTCTGCACAGAAAAGGAAAAGGCACTCGTCCAAAAAATGAAACAGTAGTGACAGCATGTCATGTCCATCAGCCTCTACAACTTGTCGTTCACATATCTGAACTGTATCAATTTCAGTCATGTACCCAAACATTGCCATGGCACATTGTTCAAATGCTTCTTCCAATGTATCACCCCAAGCATGTAACCTATTAATAGAAATTAATTCCATTACTTATAAAAGTATTGTAACATATTTTTTACAGCATATGTAATATCAAAGGTCACTGAAAGTTACATACTGAACGTCTGCTGTATGGTCCAGATCTGTAAAAAGAAAGAAACACTTTCTCACTATGTCATACTTTAAACAATAGAGTAAAACTTATTTGCATTCCTAGATCCTTCATAGTGCAGAACGAGGATGTAGAACACGTCATACCTTTGTTACAAAATACATGTTAAATTCGATTAAACCAAACGAATGCTGTTTGGAAACTGGCAAATGTAAAACTTAACCTAAACTTCGGCAAGTTTCGCTAGACTTTATCACGTGATGATACGTTTAAATAATACAAAACAAACACCGAAATAAGATATGTAACTTATCATATATAGATTTACATCTGTGTCATTACATTCATATTTCACTTCAGGAACTTTAAGATCTTCTTCCGTAAAACTTTCCATTGTCAAGCAATGTCTTCATCGGAGTAGAGAACACGCCAACACGAATTACGTCAACGCACAATCGAATGAAAACTATCGAATAATTCGATTGTTACAAACTATCTGAGCTATCGAATCCTTTTAATATTTTTGAAAACGAATTGATTCACGTCACAAACGAATTATTTTATTGGTTTGATTACTTCGTTTAAAGTTGTGGGTGACGATATACTAATAGCATTATCAAATTCCTATTAGATAGCTTAAAGAATCATAACGAACAAAGTCATGGAGCAGAGTCCTTGAGAAACTAAAAATAGGCTTGGCTAGTCAAGAAGTCCCCCCCATTTTATGGAAACCGGAGGTTCATTACCGTGTTCATGTTAGCCCGCCACTTAAATCCAATCCATGCCCTCCAACCATATAATGATAAAGTCATTTCAATACTGTCCAACTATGCCTAGGTCTGAGTGGTCTCTTCCCTTCTGGCTTTCAAACCAAAATATCATCTATTCCTTACTTCATCCTCCTTGATTTTATCATCCTTAATTTCCTCATGAATACAATTTTGATTTGTTCTGAAAGAATCATTTGGACTTTTATTCAAATGATGGCAACTAACAAATCTTAATGATTGGAAAACTTATAATGAGTACTCAATGTAGAATAAGATAAATGTTTGAGTTTGTTGTTTTATTATTATATGATACATGGACTTTCTCCATCATCTACTATTGTCAAAATAATACAAAATTCTGGACACTTAAATCTGTTACAATGACGATGTGCTTTTTCAAAACACTAGGTGATGGATAAAGTCCAGAAATCCAGTAAAAGGAACTTTATTTTTACTACTTATTGTTACTTTTACTGTTGCTGAGCAAAAGATTTCCATGTGCTTCACACGCAAAAATCAGAAACTGACAGAGAAAAGAATGGCTGAATTAGCTCTACAGGAAAGCAGAAGGAATCTTCAGAAATGGGTTTCTTGAATCAAAAGCTTCCCTGTTGATGTGTGACACAGACAGATTCAATGCCTGAAATTCTGCCTCTGCTAATAAATCACTCAAATTCTACATCAAACCCACACTCAGGGTAAACACTGGGACGTTGGAACTGGTGTTCTTTCACCTCTGCCTGGTACAGTTCAGTCAGTTATGGAAATATTGACAAAAAGTAATTATCATAAAAATATGCAGCCAGACAGTGAAGGAACCTGTAATTAATCTACAACAGTTATCACTGAATATGAAACAAATTTTGAGTACCTAATTTTAATGTGGATTCCCCTCATAATGTAAGTGGAAAAGGAATAACAAAAATGAACTTCGTAGCTGAAAAAGATTCAAGAGGCAATGCTTGTTCTGTTAGAAAGGAAAGACAGAAATCTGATCTCAAAGAGTTGACCTTGTTATGCAATCTGACAACTCCAATAAGAAACTTCACTTGCTCTAATGAAACTGTAACATACAATTACATGGGAATTTATTATCCCATTACCTCTCTAACAACTGCGTCTCTTATAGTTTCTCTAACCTTCCTACCAAATTAAGTCCAAACAGTTTCATGAAAAGAGAATCTTAGATTCGACTCAATTTGTAGAAAGGTGTTCATGAAAATAATTTAAAATGGTTTTCATGGACTCATAATCATTACCTTCAAGAATGGATGAGTGTGTATTCTGCACAAGCTGGAATGTTGGAATCACAAATGTTTTCTGGTACAGTAAAAGATGACTGCATGGACCAAGCAGCTGCAGTAAATCCTGCAGATACACATTCAGTTTCTGGTAGACCACGCAACATGGCTTCTATCATGCCTGCAGCGAAGCTAGAGAATAGATCATATTTGTCAATAACAGGGCATGAAATCTAATTTTCAGAAAACTTATAACAGTATCGCTCCTTCTGGCTGTCTGATATTATTCTGCTTTGATTGTGATGTCAGGAAATATTTTCAAGGAATTTACCTGGATATACTGAGGAAAACCACAAAAATCCTGCAAACTGATATGTGATCCTAAATGAGGTTTGAATAGTCTCTCCTGAATACAAATGAGAAGATGCAACTCACTACACTTCGTTCTGTATCTACGTGTACAGTTAAGGAAATGTTGCACAATAACTTACCAGTCTCCTGCTCCTGAAACATTCACTATCCTATGTTCAGCGATACCAACTGGTACTGCATAATGGCGAACACACACATTGGACCTAGTACGTGTAATATCACGACTTGACTGTAACAGGGGTTCATCTGCTTCACCCTCTCGTACTATCTGCAGACAATTCAGACATCAGTGTAAGTAAAAAACTGAATTAAAGTTAAAAAAAATTATCCCTAGCATGGCTTCATGCTGTGGAAAGTATATCCTGTATTATAAACAATAAAACTATAGCTGTATTTACTGGACATAACTCCCTTCAATTACTTGGCATAAACCCTTGCTGTCCAGTCCATAGCCGGCCATTTTCAAAGCATATGCATTACAGTTCATGACACTGTCAATGTATTATAGTGACATGCAATGAACCACAAATTTGCTAGCATTTTTTAAGTTTGTGGTAACAATAAAATATAATAAAGTGCAAGTAAAATTAAAGTTACTCAAATTAAATGCTGCTGTAATTAGTTAGAATTCAGAAGTTATGAAACCTTGCTATACTGAAACCTTTCTAGGAGGCCACAAACTCCATATGACTGTCCCAGAAATATCATAATTTATGGTGTCTCTCCCCCTCTCAAAAAACTAAATAATGTGGTTCTTACCAAGACACCCAACCTTCCCAATGTGACAAAAGCAGCTCCAATGTGTTCAACAAGGTTTCGAGCAAGGAACGATGCTTCACTGAGTATGGTGTCATCCTCACATGCAGAATGAAATTGGCTTAGGCTGTAAAATAATCCTAAAACAGAAACATGTGCTTGTACTGCAATGGTTCTAAGCAAAACATGTAAAGCATAACTAATGAATAGTACTTTTATATGCTGGGAATACCTAAAAGCATTTAATAATGACTTATTTATCACAACATAGTAATCTGTACCAAGTTCAGAGCCTTTCCTTTGTCCTTGTAATAAAAGCATTTGTGAAGAAATTCACACTGCACATGCCATCTGGCATCGCTGGAACGAAATATGAGTGCACCCTAATTAAAATCGTAAAATTTCTGACAATGGGCACCGCCATTCACTCCAACTATCACCCCTGCACCGCTGACCCTCATTCCAAAAGAATGTGCTGGTTGGGCGACATAACAGGTTACCGCTACTGTTTATTCCAAAAACATTGTGCGTCTTTCGGTATTAATTTATCTCTAAACCCAGCATTTTAAATTCTCAGGAACGATCATTGCGGGAAAATTGTGGGCCGGGACTACGATTTTTGAACGATCGATGCGATAAAACGATAGTTCGAGGAACGATAGAAGCGGGAAAATGTAACATTATTTTATATGGGATGTATTCGGGACCGAACAAAACGGACGATGCATCCGGGAAAACGATAGTTCCGGGAACGATGGATAGAGGTTTCACTGTAGTACTTTTATATGCTGGGAATACCCAAAAGCATTTAATAATGACTTATTTATACAACATAGTAATCTGTACCCAGTTCAGATAAAAAGATTACAATTAGTGTATGTACAGATTAAAAGTTCAAGACAGTATTTTCATATAGGATTTGAGACTTTCACGGCGAGTACAATCAATAAAATCTTCTCGGGCAATCAGCCGTGTCAACTGGTTACCGTAGTAAACCAACGTTTTGGGAACCAACTCTGTCTCCATCATCAGGGTTCTGATGTGACATAAATGTTCAGTTGAGTTTGATTGATGATTTTAACTTGAAGACAGGAGCCTAGACATACTTTAAATCATACAGTCTGAAATAAGATAAAAATGATTACATGAACTGTAATTTCTTCTACATATGAAGCATAACAGAGAGCCCATTGTAGAGAATTAAGAAATTTAATATTCTTCCACTAGCCAGTAAATTCTTGTTCTCATTGTCATTTGTAGTGGACAACATAGAAAAATTTCAAACAAACTCAAATGTCCACAATATAAGTACAAGATACAGATAACCTTCATGCGCCAAACACTAAACTCAGTAATATCAAAAGGAATTTACAATACTGGAATTAAGTTATTCAATAATCATCCCCTTACTATAGGAAGTCTGAATCATAATGTAAAGAAGTTTAAGCCAGCAGTATTTCCTATTTCACTCTTACTCCATAGAAGAATTTGCCTAAACCAAAAATTCTCAGTTAATATAAATACATTTAAGCAATAGTGTAATTATTTTTGCTGTACTACTGTATTCGACTGTAAATTACTGTGATAACTATGTAATTTATATGTGTATTAGAAACAAGTATTATATTTGTGCTATGACGTGTTCAACAACCTTGGCTTGGGCCTATGAAGATCTATAGAATGTAAACAAAATGTTCTCCTCTATTTTAAGTATAAAGTCTGAAACAAAATATCTAGCACACGAGTAAATGAACAGATGGAGAAGTAGGCCTCACCTGATGCCTGTGACATCACTTGCAGCTCATTCAAGTTGGGTGATACATAGCCTAAAGTTGTCCAATGCCGAGACTGAAACACTTTCCCAGCTTTCCTTATATCTGTTGGTTCAAACCAAACTGCCAACAAACACAAAATGTTAAATACAAATTGGGTACTTCTCACAGAGAATGTGTCAGGCTGAATTTAATATATTTTTATCTTATAAATGGAAGATTGTGGAGAAATGCATTGTTATTCTTTATAAAACTCATCATTGTGGAGAAATGCATTGTTATTCTTTATAAAACTCATCATTGTGGAGAAATGCATTGTTATTCTTTATAAAACTCATCATTGTGGAGAAATGCATTGTTATTCTTTATAAAACTCATCATTGTAAAGAAAACCAGAAACTGGTTATGCATTTAAAAATCATGCATCTTCATACATTCCTTTTCGTTTAACTCATACGTGCTTCAAGCATCCCATATCAAACTTGGCGGAATTTATGACAACTCAATATTTCTCGAAAATAATATTACAGTCAAGCGAGAAAGATCGTCTACCATCCCGTTCGTTCATACCATCCACCATACATAATCAGGTACACCGAGTAGGAAATACGTAGCCTTCAACCAAAGATTTTTCTTCTTCTTCTTCCAATTCATGACAGAGACAACAGTTCTTCCAACGTTTGCAGCAGTGATTGTGAATTGGAATGGAACCACCTGCCACCAGGACGCGAAGTCAGTCAGGATAATAAACAAACATGGGAAGAAAATCGAGGACTGGTCTTGTGGCTACGGCATTTGCAGCTCTGGCATTTGTGTTTATTTTCATTGCGTTTGTCTCTCCGTATTGGCTCGAAACAGATGGCAAATTAAAAGATCCGAAATTCCTGAACATAGGTGAGTTCCTTATGTTGTTGAGGTTATTAATAGGTGTGGTCCCAGTATGTTTTGTTTTAACATATTGAAATTAGCACTGCGAAGTTAAAAATTGCCTAGTTTGAACCTTTTCTCTTGTATATTAATAACTTCACACCTGTTTTATGTGCAGATAATAACTAGACATAGGCGTCATAATTACAAAAACATAATTAAATAAGTGAACAATGTAAAGATTCATAGGCGATAAGGCTACTTTAAATTTATATAAAACTCATAAAATTTGTAACTAATAACAGACCAGTAACTAGTGTACAAATAGGCTATAATGATAGTTTATACAGTAAGTAAAAGTGAAGTTCCTCGACCCTAATTATTAATAGCCTAAATTGGAACAGCCATATAAAATTCATTTTGTCAGAATTACTCACAACATTCATTCTGTAATTCTTACAATTTATTAGCATTGATACTGGAATGGCCATAGATACAGTAAAACACATAACAGAATAAATGTAAAAATACTAAACATTGACTACAAGGAAATGACATTAAAATGAAGAATATATATCAACAAAGAATTAATTACAGATATATGAATATGCGTGATGCAGGTATATGTAACGGTAAAGTAAAACAAAAAATTAGTTCTCATAATGTTTTTATAGCACAGTATTCTAATACCATTTTTAATTGAAATGTGTTATGTACCTCAAACAACGAATGCATAAAAGTAGCATTCTTTGCAAGCTATCAGTTTTGTTTCAGGCCTGTGGCAGGTTTGTTTCCAAGGGTTTGTTGATCCTCGCCACTGGTATGAGACAGAGTTTTATGGTTGTTGGTGGGTATTTGAAGAGGAATATTACATTATCCATGATATATTATTGCCAGGTAAGAAACATGAACTCCAGTTTTTTCTCAGATATGTTCCAAATTGTGATTTAGTATATGTTTATTCAAAATTATTTTCCTTGTCATGGAACTTCCCAGTAGTTAACAAAGAATTTATTGTCAGTGACGGAAAACATATACTCTAGTAAAAAGTCAAACATTTGTCATTTTCATAAGAACAATTAAGTCCCAGCCAGCACTTTAAAATTATGTGTATATTCAGAATTGCACCATTCATAAAACTGTACATGTAAAATAAGAATGTGCCTCTTACATGAGTAGAAAGCTTCTTAAGCTATGATTATCAAAGCATTCTTTGAGCACATTGTTTCACATTTTTGTAATTTGGTTTAAATTTATTAAATTACAGTATTTTGGGTTGTTTTCATCATCAGAATGGAAGCCAGTTTGAGTAATAATTCACTGTGCTCTTGTCTCTGCAGGTTTCTTTGTTGCAACACAGTTTTTTTTCACCTTGTGCTTCACACTTCTACTGATAGCTAGTTTTCTCGTGCCCTTATACCTGTGTTGCAGTCGGGAGCACGAGCGTTTTGTACTGCTTCTGCTTGTTATAGGAACTGATCTCACAATAGCAGGTAATGATCAATTTATTTCTTACACAGTACTGATTACATACTAGGTTACTTAATTCACTTTTGATGGGACATTAGATATAAAGCCTGAATTAACATTTTTAATATGTTGTTCTGGTAAATAAGTATGTATAAACATATGTTTTGGAATGTTAAATTATTAATATTGGTCTTATAACCTCATTAATGAACATCTAATGTTTAAGAAAGTTATTAAATTTGAGTGAAATATAAAGATTAAAGTAAATGGTCGTATGTCTGCTTTACTGTAATGGAAGATATTGTTTCAGCCCAAATAAGATCTCATGAATTTTACTTTTTTTTTCTATTTTACAGCTGTATCAGGAACAATTGCTGTCATTATTTTTGGTGCATGTGGAGATGGCCGAGATTGGATGCCAAACTGGGAACATAATAACATATCCTGGTCTTATGCACTAGCTGTCTTTGGAGTTCTGTTCCTCTACATTAGTGGAATTCTGTACCTAGTAGAGGGGCGTGTTCATCATAAGAAGCGTGAGAGGGCACGGGAGGCCACTCATTCAGCTTATCATATGGAACAAAGGAAGGGTCACACAACAATCTGAAAGACAGCATTTTGAGAAGTGATTTATACTGGAGTTTGTTCAAAGAATTTCACATAGCCCACCCTTCTGTCAGTTTTAGGTTGGGCATGAACATGTTTCTTTTAGCGCCAAGTTTTAAGATATAATTTAGAAGAGTGTGTTGTCAACGTATATTTTAATTTAGTTATTTTCACCATATAGGCATAACCTCAGAATATTGACATACCTGTATTATGTGTAACATGAACTAATAACTTGCCACCCACAAAGTTTTTTTGTTATGTTTATCTTATGTGTTTTAGTAATTTTTTATTCTGCCTCAAATTCTTTGAAGGTCAGCCATGGGGTTATAGCCTGCTAATTCAGAAACGCTGTTTTACACTGTATGAACTTTAAATTCTGCAGTAATTATTCATATACTCTTAGATGATATGGTATGCATTCATATCATCCTTGAAGCACAATTTTATGTAGGCCAAGGCAAAATTCGGATAATGTTCTCACATTTTTAAAACACGTGTACTTGTCTTATTCAGTTATCTAAAATTTATGGGTGCCTTGTAGCTCTAGGCTAGGTTTGTTAGCCTGGGCACTACATATTGTAAATAAGAAATAGAGTTGCATTTTATTAAAATTATACATTTATAGCAACACTTCAGAGACCCTTGCAGCATCAGTGATAGAGGTGATGAGACACAACATGGCATTGTAACCTAGAAGACAGCCATCTTCATACTTTCTGTTGTAAGAACCTCAAATCGTTGTTGCATATGCAGTAAAACAGCAATATAATGCTCATAACTTGTTCTGGAATAGCGATCTTGTTATTACCTAAATATGCATGAGTTAAATTGCAGATTATTAAAACAAAGCTTTAAATGTTACTCTTTTACCTAATTTCATTGTGAGTTGTGTCCATATTTTTAGCGCAAACATTCTGTGGAATTAGATATAACAGTATTTTGAATCTCTCATTGATTTTAACAAGTCATTCTTAAGTTTATATAATTCTGAGTTAGTAATAAATATAATTATGTACCAGATTAGGAGTATAAAATAAATTATGCAAAAGCTTTTTTCTAGTTCTGGTTGAATCTCATTTTATAGTTGCAGTTCTGAAGACAAAATTTGTTTTGGCCAATCCATTATTAATTTTAAGAATTAAGGAAATAGAAATGTATATTGTATATAGTGCTGAACTGATCAGTATTCAAAGAATGTTACTCATGAAAATGAAGAGTTTTGAATTAAATCTGTTTCCCAAGTTACATATTACTTTGCAATCTCTGCAGTTTGAACAGCATGTCAGTAACTTATCAATCTTAAACAAGTAATGTCTTTTTTTCTATAGTTTTTGCTACCTTTCAAAATATGAAAGGTTAATTTTTCTTGTACAGTTTATATTGTGCATTACTGTAAACTATGAACTTAACAGATATCTAATCATTTATCATTAAGGTACTGATCCATTGGTATAGCAATCGTATATTTCTTTTGCAATACTGTTATGTGGTCAATACTGGGGAGGGAGAAACATAGTAAAGTGAAAACAAAAATTTGTATATTTGGAAGAGGAATGAGCAGTTATCACAGATGAATAAAATGCAGACTGCAATATTCCCCAATGAAGATGGGTGTGAAAGCAATGAAAATTGTAATTCCTAACACTGATGATGTTGTTGATTAGATGTTTAAAAGTATTGACATTCCGTCCAAAGCAGTGAACATTGCATCACTAAAAGCTTATATAAATTTTACTGTAATATTGAAATAGAAATGTATTTTTATAGTGTTATTTCTTACTGAAATTACGCATTTTATATTTTATACAATTAGCACTGGCAGTGTGACTTTCTTTTTCAAGTGTATAGAACTATTTTATTACATGTGTTTAATAAATAATAATATATGCACTATGTATAGCTAGTTCATTTAATTAAGGGTATGCATTTTTCTTCAGTACCAGTGTCTTATAATTTCTAAAATATAGCATAAGTAATCAATAGAAAATGATGTGACTGAGTAATGACAGATGATAATTTGGAATATGAAGCTAATCAAAGCTGAAATCTTAGATGATAATTTGGAATATGAAGCTAATGAAAGCTGAAATCTTAACAAGTACTGACTTGTATAAAATATTTGTGAATTTCATCAAACTGGTATACTATGCACTACAATTTTTGGAACATAACCTGTTATTTCTTAATGTAGAGAGTATTTACTTTAAGCTCGAGTGTTTATACAACTTTGAAAATATATGTGAAGACATTTGACATGGCAGTTAAACATTAAATGAAATGGAAGTTTCACAGCAAGAATACAGTGGATATGAATATTTAAGATAAAATTCTGCTTACTGCAACTGTGTCATTAACATTAGTGGTTAAATTCAGTTTGCATCACTATTTCTAAGGTTTGCAGTTTGAACAGAAGTCTGCTAATTTTTATATTTCTCAAAATTAAAACTATATTTAAGTCTAGGTTATGTTTGGCATTTTACCAGTGAGCTTTGAATTTACTTCGTCTTCCTTCAGTTCACAACAGCATTGCATTTTCTTATTTTTAACAGTCCAATTTAATTTTTTTTCAATATAAACAGGTATTATAACATTCATACATTTCATTAAATGTGATGCTGCAATATTCATAGTACCAAAACTAATTATCCTGATGATCATCTGGATTGTGACACTGTGTGGACTTGTAGGTAAGAACCAACATTATGGAGAAACATACTGTGTCATCCATCTTCAGGGCATCACAACCCAGAAAAACATCTTCACCACTGCAAGAATTTTGAATCACACAACTGTATTAGTATTTTTGTGATGTATATTTCATAATCATTTGATGATTTTTCAAGAAGTTTAATTTTAACATAAGAGTCTCTGTATTAATTGCCATTTGTTTTCTGAACGTTCTACATTTTCGGTATAATGATATGAAATCACATCACACATTATCCGAAGTGAAGGGCAAAAAATCAAAGAATATGTAGGCTTGGTTCAGATGACATATGAGAAAAAAGTTTATAAGTTATAAAATTTGGTCTTTCTCATGTTTTATTACATTTTTACATTAGGTAAAATATTTTGTGAAGGAAGTTCTTTTCAGTAGCTAAGGTATGGACAAAACTTGATCTTTCTAAGCTTTCAAGTAAGAGCGTGGAAAAACTGGCATACATCTACATGTATTTAATTTATTAAATATGCCATTATTAGGAACTATAAAGCAATTTAAGTACTGATTTTGTTGTCTGGAATAGCTACATAACCTAATATTACAGATACAGCTTCAATTATATTGATGTTCAGAGAATGAGGAGGCAAGTAGATTGCCAAGGCAGCTAGTTTGAGAAAAAGAGTAATTAATATATGCTCAGACTTGGTGGAGGATGAACCTGTGTAGTAATATGACAGTTTAATAATAATTTCTGTGCCCAACACAAATTAGTGAAAAACATATGTTTTTAGTTTAACTGTAAATTAAAATCCTGTAGCATGGAAGCAGAAGATATAATTGCACTTTAGTTCTACATAGATGTCCATGATGTTAGAAATTTTTAGTACTGAAAAACCACAATTTTGAGTTCAAAAACTGATACTGAGATTATAAGGTCCTGATGGGTTTTGCTTATTTTGAAGGAACCTTATGAAACTGTTGCAGAATTGGCTTAAAAATTTCCAGAAATTGCAGTGGGACATTCTACTGAATTACTACACTTGTTAACCTGAGGGATGCACACTTTCTACAGTTCCATAACTGAAACAGCATTAAACTCTGGCATCACATCAGAAATTCTTATGTTTAAAAGAAGTTCAACAGTACAACATATACATATGTTTATATTTGTATAATATGTTCCAAAATGCTGTACCATTGTTCATGGTGTAATTTCACTGTAATTCAGATGTTCAGATTAAATATTGTTAAAGTTAAAACTCCAATTTATTTTCCCATCCTCTGTTCTACCAGTTGCCAAATTTAATGGTTTTGGGCTAAGAACATATAAATAATAACATGTATGTTGTCTAAGGGTATGTCTGAAAGACAGAATTAAGGAACTTGAAGCAGAACAAACATATAAGGCATCTATCTGTATAGAGGCATAAATCATTTTAAGAAGAGTTACCAACCTAGAACTAGCTTGGTGAAAGATTAGAATGGTGATCTGCTTGTGTATCACTGGTTCAAATCCTACTGGAGGACATATATATATATACACACACACATTTATTTCGGGCTTGTTGTTTAGTGTAGGAAGAACACTAGTGATAGTTCTTTCTCCCATCCTGGGAGTACTGCCAAACGTGTAGGAATTGTGAGTATACCCTGAATCAGAATGGACCAAAGGGCCTTTTCCAATAAAGTCAGAGAAGAACCAAAACATCAGATCAATTATGGATACTGATGGGACCAGTTCCTCTGGCAATAAAATAATGACATGAATAGTGCACAATGGCAATTCCACAGTGCAAACTGCTGACAACTGCAGTAACATGACTGGACTGTGAACGTTGCAATGTTTTGAGTGGTAATTGGTTCTTAGTACTCCAGTGTGACTCACGTCAAAGTCATTCATGCATTAGTCAACGCGTCATAAAATTTGCATTAGGAAAGCTGAACCAGAATAGACAAGTCTTGTTCTTCCCCAGCCTTGCGCTTAATTATGTGAAACTCTCAAGGACAAGAAGGTTTATTTTTTAGAAATGTAATTTGCTACTGTGCACACGTTCCCATTCCCATACACTCCCTTTCCTCCTGACAGCCTACCTTGGTGACATAAACGCTTATCATATCACGGAATTCTAGGGAATATGTTGTGTTCTTCGTTGGTAGCACTGCAAACGCAAAACGGCTCATAACGAGGACGCAGTCAGACATGTATGCCACCTGTTATTGGTTTGGGCGTTGACGCAAAAGGTAAACAACATCAGATAATAATATTCGTAATTGTTTATATGTTATGCATTTAATTTTCTAACGTCTTGGTCAAAATTACAAGTACTTTATTTTGAGTAACAATATAAGTTTCGTAACACTGTGAATGATTCATTTGTACTTGTAGTATTTATGTAATTTATAACAATTTATATTTAATTTAATGAAAGTAAATATATATCGAAATATTCTAACAGTATTATACGCCCGTACGCGTGCACCTGTTGGTTTACTGACAATTCCTATTTTATCGCCTGTGTTCTTGGTTAGTGGAACAACGTTAACAGCCAACATGATGTGCTCGTCTTCAAGACGGTGGAAGGCCGTAGAAACCCAAAAGACTGCCTTAAAGTTTTGCTGTAAAACTGTTTTACTTGATATAAATTTATTATTTAAAATTAAAAATTGTGACTAGAAATTATGTGCCCAGTTTGTGTATCACTAATGAATATCATGCCTACAGTGAAAATTAACATCAAGTGAGAGCAGTCAAGATGAAGAAACGCAGCCTGGCTGGCAACTGTGCAGTTGGCACTTTTGTGTTGACTCTTGTATGCATATTTGTGGCATTCTGTGCACCTGCATGGCTTGTCAGTGATCCTCGCATCACAGGAGCCAACCTTGATCGTCTTGGCTTATGGTCACATTGTTTCCGTTCTCTGCCAGATCCGCAGGACAGTTACCAGAGGAGGTTTTTTGTAGGATGTAGATGGGTTTATGATCCATTTACTACTGGTTACGATGAAATCAGAGGATTTCTCTTGCCACGTAAGTCCAAATTGCAAGGTTGCACATAAATGTGGTCATATTCCAATATTCATATTGCTTCATAGCTTTGTTTGCACCAATATTCCACACATTCTTATTTGGTAGAAGTGTTTTTCATTCTTGAAAAATATTGTTTTTACAGATTTACAACTTTACCTCTGTGTCAATAATACAACATAGGCCTAAAGTGTGTTGAAGTTTCAGCACATACAAATGCAGTATTACCTATTCACTAATTATTTAAATTTTCTTTACAGCCTTCATGATAGTGACACAGTTTTTCTTCACGTTATGCTTCGTCTGTGTCCTGATATCACTGATCCTTGTCCTGATTTTCTTCTTGTGTTTTGGACCGGAACAGAAACATTTCGTGCTTCTCTCCTTGGTCATCAGTGGCTTGCTCATGACTGCCGGTAAGTGATCGTTTTGTGTTCCAAGAAAACACGTCTGCTTCCACACATAGCTGTGGAAACTTAGGGTGTAGAAACAGAGTTAATACAAATCAATCATTAAAGTTCTTTCTACATGACATATTTTGTATGAAAGTTGAGGTACTCACTGCATTAAAGATATTGGCCTTCTGGAATGTAAAACTGCGGACTTGAAAGTAGATAATGTTTCAGAGGGAACACTGGTATCCCACCTACAAGTCCATGAAGTGTTACATGCTGGAAGACCAACATTGATTTCATATATTATTCTGAGAACAGGTGATACATATAATATTAGCTTTGTGCTAGACTGATGATAAACACTACCCATAAACATCAGCTCTAAAATTATAAGAAATGTAGTCTATATTACTCGTACTTTAATTTCCCTGCATAACAATTATAAATTTGACTTGGGCGTTAAAGCATGACTATTAGAACTGAATATCACTGATCATCTTACATAACTTTTTAGAAATGAGTCAGTTTTTTTCTCTGTTCAAGAGAACCCTTTTACAGTTGTACAGCTAGTTTGGTAGGACGAACAATGGCCTTGAGTTGCGCAGTACTCACTTGTGTGGAGAACCACTCAAGGCCATAGCCCATGTCTTGCCAGAGTAGCTATATATTGCATTGTGTCCAAGTTTGTCTTACTTATATGTGTCTTCATTGTCTGAAGGTGTGACTGGTGGGATTGCGGTCATAGTCTTTGCTTGTCTTGGGAACACTGATGGGTGGATGCCGGGCCATACAAACAATTTCTTTGGCTGGGCATTTGGGTTGGGTGTGGCAGGAGTCGCAATGGCATTCATATCTGGAATACTTTTCCTTGTCGAAGCAAGAATTCAGCGAAAGAAGAGGAAGTATCTCAAAGAATCTCAGACAAGATTTGACATGGAGCAGGAGTCAAAAGCATAGAGGCATCTCATTGTATGGCAAGGCCAAATTGAATCCATTATTTATATAATATTTGTGGTCATACTTGTTGCATCCGTCCAACAGAATTAAGATTTTAAGTACAAAGAAGGAAAGTAGATCTGAATAGTTGATGAAAGTATAATGATGACTGTATTTACACAAATACAAAACGCACATTCCCCCCCCCCCCCAAATTTGTATGCCAAAAATAAGGGCATAGCATATAATCAGAATATTTTATTGTAATGGTGAGATAATTGGTCTGTATCATGGTTGATAATGCAAATATTTTGATTGTAGTACATATTTCTACATAAGATTGGATGAATGATACTGTAGGAACGTAGAGGTAAAATATGTGTTCGGAAGGTTTCAGCATTAAATGTTGCACAATTTACTGAGTTTATGTAATAATCATTGTTACTTATTTAATCTCCATCAACCTGTCTGAAATGTATGATGCTAGAAGAAGAAATATTTAATCAGAAACTATACATATGATGTGTATATGTATGAACATATTTTTGCAAGATAATGAGTGTTGAGCAGTTAACATTTTACCTTGTTAGTCAGTGAGTGTATTATTTTCTGATCTTTATGTGTGTTCAGTATTTGATATTTAATGTTCTTTTCAGCAGTTGAAAGTTTTTATGAGCTGTGAGATTTGATGATTTGTCTTCAGGTTGAAATGCAGATTCTTAGGAAAGATATTTCTCTTCTGTTACTTGAAGCACAACTCAGTAAATATTTTAATCTGTACCAGTATGTACTGTAATTCTCTTTCAAGTATGATAATTGAATATTTTTCTTTACTGTATTACTTCTAAGCATTCCGTATGTGAAGGATTGTCATGCTGCAAGATGTAAGATAATAGAAGAACTGGCTCACAAGCATTTTGCAATGAGTTGAGATTTTGATATAAATATTTTCTGTTCTGAAAGTAGTTGTATAATTCACAACTTTCACTATTGTTAACACTAACAGTTGTGCTCTTTGTATTTTGTATCTGATACTTTGATATCGTATAGTAACCTTTTTATATGTACATTATTTCATTGAAAAAAGAAATACAATTTACATTGTTACCTTAACAAATACAAATCATGATTTCATTGTTCTGTGAAAGCTTGTCACTGAATCATCTATTCATTGCAAGTCTCAAGATTACAGTCTTACACTGTAGGTCTCCCATGTAGTCCCTTCCTATAAAGGTGGCGACTGACTTGTAACATTTGCCTGTAATGTAACGTGTTACAAATCGAGCATTACACAAGTGAAGACAGCGAACGGAGCCGCTCGATGCGAGCTGCTCACGCTCGCGGGCGCTCCATCGTGTTGTCGGTTTTTTCGCGAATCCCTTTGAGTGTTACATTACAAGTCAGTCAGTCAGTCGAGCGGCGTCGTAACGAGCATTCACGAGTTCTTTAGATAAGAGTAGCGTATTAAATGAAACAAAGATAACACAACCTCCACGTCCGACATATTGAATGAAATGAATGGAGCACACATGAGCACAGTCGAGCCGAGCGTTCAAAACGAGCATTCGATGCGCCTCACCAGTTGTGGTGTAATGTAACATGCTCGCCGCGAATGTTACATTACGAGTAAATGTTACAAGTCAGTCGCCACCTTTAGGTTCCCAATGAAAATGACTAATAGGTACAATATTTATTCTAGTCACACTGGCCAATCATCTGAATTATTTTCGTCCTCAAAGGTTTCTTCTCGGTTGATAACAACGAACTGTGTATAGGACTACAGTTTATGATTTTTAATCCAAATACAAAATTCAAACTAGACTCAAATATGAATTCGAACTGTAACGTCAACTGTCAACTGGAACAATTACAAAATAGGAATTCAAACAAACGAACGTTCTCTGTAAAAAAGAACCAGTTTCACTTCATTTAAAATTTCAATCAACACAATTGGCAATTTGATCCATATCGATGATCTAAAAACGTGACCCAAAAATATAACGGAAGACTGACATCCTTGAACCCCCAAAACGATTATCGATTGAATACTTTCTTGTAAAAATCGAAAGTATTCACTGTTTATGCTAAGATAAAACCACCATAGTCTGATCCTCAACCAATATTACAATGTATGCAGTTCGATGTGCAAAAATATCCAATTTTTGTTTTTGGATGCTGTGCAATTAAAAAGAAATGTACTTATTTTTAATGGCAATTATTGTGGAGTGGCTACCGAAACCTAACCCCCCTGCTACCAACATGCAACTATCCAATTGGGCGTGACAAACAAAATGGTGGATTTGTAGTAAACTATTTTGATATTGTCGAGCTTTTTATACTCGTGTACAGAAATACACGAAAAGGAAATAAGTGTTCCAACGACGCTGCACAATGTCGACCAACGGAAAGCATGATTATCCCAAGGCAACTAGTACGTACGAATTTTGTTTTGGAATTCAGTGTAAACAAAGGCTTGACCGCACCTCACTGGTGCTTTGGTAGGCTGTCGTTTATTTCATTCTTTGTCGCGTTGTGGAATATATTTTAAATTTATAGGACGGTTAATTATTTATTTATTTTTTGCAGTGAGGAATTACATGTGTGGGATATATCTAATTGTATCGCTATAGAAGTAGACATAACCTACTTTTCTTACACTGTCAAGTTTCTATGTCAGAACGCAAGATCATGGCCAACCAAGGAACTCTGTAATGTGACTTAACGTTTAAAAACTACTCATGAATATTAATGAAAATATATGTGCGTTTGGTGGTACCAACAAATACAATGGGCCTTACATTGTCAGCACAAAGTACCACCGAATGACCAACAGACAGTTGTACAAAATAAATTGGTAATTAGGTTCAGGTCCTCACTAAGGAAACATTACCAGAATAGAAAACAGGAGTGTGGGATAAACTGCCTAGGAATGTGGTGTGTGCTGTACTGTTATATGCATTTCAACAAATTATTTTTGTAATGATCTTATTGATAGTTTGAACAAATGGATTAAAGCCAATAAGTACATGAATGTAGTTCTATATATGAAGCATACCAGAGAGCCCGTTGTAGAGAATTAAGAAATTTAATATTCTTCCACTAGCCAGAAAATTCTTGTTCTCATAATCATCATTTGTAATGAAATACAGAGAAATCTCAAACTCAGATATCCACAATGTAAGTATAAGATTCAGATATAACTTTCATGTTCTAACACTAAACTCAGTAAATATAAAAAAGGAGTTTATTATACAGGAATTATGCTATTCAATACTCATCCCCCACTATAAAACGTCTGAATGAAGATATGAAGAAGTTAAGCCAGCACTATCTCTTATCTCACTCCTTCTACTCCACAGAATAATTTATGTCGACCAAAAATTCTTAGCTATTATAAACACATATAAGCAACAGTGACTATGCCTTTTTGTGGAAAAACTGTAGTTGACTGTAAATTACTGTTGTAACTATATCATTTATATTTGTATTACAAACGTGCTATGACATCATCTACATCCATGGTTTTAGCCTATGAAGGAACAATGAAATGTAAATAAATTCTATTCTGTACAATTTTGCATTGTTTTATTGCAGATGCCTTGGTGTTTGGAGGAATGCTCACATACATTTCTGGTTTAATGCTGATGATGTCATTTGCAAGGTAAGATTTATATTTGCTAATTGTTGACATGCACAGAATATTCTCTTTATAGACACTAAGCATTAGAACTTCATTTTAAGCATGGTTGATAAACATATGAATTATTACATCATGGGAAATAATTCTGGCAGGAAAGTGCAAATTAAAATGTCTTGTTCAGTGTATACCAAATATGAAAACTAAAATATCTTCTAAAATGAATCATGAAAGCTGACATATACATTTTGAGAGCTTATGATGATGAAATATATTGACATGAGCCTTATATTTTCTAGTAGATGCTACTTTGTACTTTTCTTGTGTGATTCTTCCCATTTTACTATCTTTCTGGTTCATCTTCATAATATTGGATGGTAAGAGTGAAACAGGGCAACATATTAAGACAAGTGGATGAATAAGAGCCTGTATGGGCAATACCTTCAAAACTTGAATGACAACTGATCAACAAACAAATTAGGAAATATATGGATATAACAAAGCATTAGCTCCAGATCAACCAAAGTTGGAATGTGTTGAATTCAGAACATGTTTTAAATGTAATTCTGCCATTTGTTGCAGTCCTTATTGGATTCAGTCCTATCAGGAAACTTTCAGTGACTTCAAACACATGGGATTGTGGGAATACTGTTTCGATCAGTTCCGATACCCATATTATCAGTTTGATAAGCTGTTTGATGGCTGTCATTACATTTTTAGCCAAGAATATTACGTCATTCGAGAATGGCTTTTACCAGGTTAGTGAAGAGTTTTCTTTCTTGATAAGTGTTTTGTTTTCTGTCTATAAATATAATGTGCACAGTGTTTGTAATGAAGCATGATTCTTGAAGCTGAACTGGTGGGGTCACCTTGTGGCGAGAGTGTTGATCTGAGTTATAAATGTTTATTATAGTACAAAAATCAAATGAAGTGTGTGTGAAAGTATAACCTGATTTGAGATTTTCATGCCAATGAGTCTGAAGATGTCTGTCTTCCGGGTTTTAGCATTGTGTAGCCTGGTAGAAGTTTACCAGCGTTTCGGAGGTCCTTGCTGCCACCATTATGATGGCAATGAGTACACAGCGCTACAACCCAGAAGATAGCCATCTTCTGCTTTGAGTTATTTATCAGCTTATCGTGTATGATGATGTTAATCTTGTCTTTCACTCACTTCTATACTCTTCCTAACAGTTTTGTGTTTCAAATGCCTTTCAGGTTGGCTGATGGTGGTGCAAGCTTTTGTGACATTAGCCCTTATGCTATCATTTTCGTCACAGATCATAATTGCTTTGGAATTGATGCGCTGGCCTCTCGAATTTGTCCTTCTGTATGAGTGGATTCTTTCTGGCATTGCTTTCGTGTACAATGCTCTTGCAGGTAATTTGATGAGGGAAGATTATATGCAGAAAATAGATGAGCATATTTCTTAATGTAAAAGCATTTAAGCCTTCTTTCCTTCCTAAAGAATGATCGTAATCAGAATTATTGAGATATAAACATCTGGTACTGCATTTTATATGCATACCATTTCTGGTACACTGTAACATTGCTAATCTTGTCTGTTTTACAGCGGTTTTACTCTTCCTGGCAGTATCCATCTTTGGTGGCGAATGCTGGCGCCGTGATTGGTTGATGTATCCAAATTTCAACTACTTGTCTTGGTCTTATGGATTAGCAGTCATTTCCATGTTCTTCCATGGATTTGCAGCTTTCTTTATTTATTTGGTAAGTCCCATACATTCTTGCATATGCCAAAACTCTAGAAACAGAATTTCAGCGTTGTTATACGAAAGCTCATCACAAGCTGAACATGGCCCTGAGCTTAATTGTTCTGTTTAATATTCTCACAGCATGCTTTAATAAGTTCATTTGAATATTACCATTCTTCAGTCTTCCAAGCAAACATCTAAATTTGTGTCCATATCCTGTTATCCCAGTCTCATTTGTTTGTTGACTGCATTACAACATCTTGTTTTGATGGCCCTTTCAGTACCTGGTGACATGAATTATGAAGATACTTGGTTATACCTTCCATTCCACATTTCATTTCACTTGGACCCCAAGTAATTTCTTTGCACTTTGTCTTCAAGTCAATTCATGTTCCTCCTTCACAGAAAACTATCAAATTTCACAGTCACATAAAACTGGTAATTTTTGTTTTGTATTTTAATCTTTGGTTTTTGGAAAGTAGACGAGGTGACCAAGTAGTATTACATTTTTGTCGGCCTCTTTGCGTGCATTAAAACCAACGAATGGATGTCATTGCAGGACACTCGCAAGAAGTGGGAGATGAGAAAGGAAAGTAAAAATCTAGTGATGCAGATGCATCCAAATCCAGGGCGTAATGGTTTTGTCTGAGACTACAGTGCAAAAGGAATGTATCAGAAGAATGTTCTGTAAAGTGGAACTATTTTTACTTCATAATTTTATCTCTACGTAGTAGAATGAAGAACAGAAAGTTATTTTGGTATAGTCTATTCATTGACACTGCAGTAAATGAAATGTGTAGTCTGCTGTACATTCTGTGTATTATAGGCCATACAAAGAAACTGGTCTATCTTGTCCTCTGATTTAGCATTCCATAATTATGTACTTTATTTTATACTTGGCAGTTTTAAACCCATAAAATATTATTTACTTTTTCTGAAGTAGAACGTGTGAAGTGTAAAATCTGAAAATATTATTGAAACCAGTATTTCTTTTCTTGCATTACTATCTTGTCACATTTTTTTAGAGTGTACTGTTTGTACCAGATTGTACATTTATTATCTAGACATTGTTAGGTGACGATATTTAACATTTTATGAAACTGTTAATGTTGAAAACAAAGATACTCGACTGTCAGGAACTTGATGGTCCTGTAACTGGTGTAGAAAGTTGTGAAATTTGCTTCCTTAAAGTAGCAATGAAAAATTGTCTTTTATATGAAATACTTTAAAATTGTTCCCAGGAGATGTTGAAACTTATATCATATCAGCTTCATTCAAATTCAATAATTCACATAGTACAATATTTTTATGCTCAATATTAGAAATAACCACAATATGTTGCCTTAATAATACAGAATTGAAGCAGTTTCTAACATAAATAACTAAAAGAGACTAACATTATCTAATGCTGTAAATGCATTCAAGTTACTTACACACACAAATCACGAAATGTAATGTAACATTATTTAGGTGTGCTATACATTTCAAAATAAAAAGATCTGATACGAAAGTGACTATAAAATGTCGACATGAAATTAAAACTACTCTGCTAACATTTCAGTTATTTTATTAAGTGAGAGATTCAATTATTATTAATAACAGGTGTATTTTTCTATCATATTAGACAATCAAGTAATAGGTTGTTCCCATATTCATAGGTGAAAATATGTCAATACTGAATGTACACTTTCAACCAATTTCCTTATGAAGTGGCTGATAATTTATTATAATAAATTGCTGCTATTATTATAAGTTCTTTGAAGACCAATGCCATGAGAGAGATGTTTGTTTATAGCAGCTCGTTATGCATACCTTCCCTAACAAGTAAAAGGGAGACTGTTTGAAACTGTCTAACATTCTTAATGGACCACGATGAACTTATGGACCAAATTAACATTTCATTACAAAATTGAAGCCAGAAATTAAATTAATTTCTTAATTTAGAAGTAGAAGTACTTAAAAAAATTTTGTACAGGTACACACACATTTTAATTTCATTTTTATTTTACTACATTTATGGTGCTAATTAGAAGTTAGTGTTAGATTGCCTTATTTTGAAAATATGAATCCAGTGGTTTCAAATTGTTAGCATGTTAATTGGCGCAATCATATGATGATCATCTTTTATTGGAAAGATTTAAGTTTGATGCATAATGTGTTGAGATTTGATTTAGTACTACAGTAAAACCTCTCTAAGTTGGACACTTGGGGTTCCATGAAAATGTGTCCAACTTATATAGGTGTCCAAGATAGAGTGAAAGAGAAAAATCAGATTGTGGTCTAATGGCAATATAATCTCTTTACAACTACTGAAGGCTTACTTGAATTAAGAATTAATGACAATAGTATTAATAATAATCTTTTGAAGCCCACTCCCATGCATTGCACATTACACCCCAGCCTCAATAACATTTTCTAAAGTCAATTCCACCAATTTTCGCCTCCCCATCGCAAAAAGAAAAATTCCATTTCTGTTAACACAGTCTGAACTCAAATTCAAGCACAGTGCTGATGGAGTTAAAACTGTGTCTTCTGCAATACTGTAGTCCAGTTAAGGGTTCAGCAAAAGAATAGTTAAACACTTGCAATGCATTCCAATGATGGGTTCAGTGTCCATAAGATAATCCTCCAGAGAGGATGCATTCAACAGTCAGAAATTCAAAATAACAAAATATGTAACTGAAAAAGTTTCCCTGCAAAGCATCGAAGCTAAGTGCATGAACCTGTCCAACTTACAACAAAAGGGGTGTTTCAAGTTCCAGGATATAGGGGTGTCCAAGATATAGGGTATTGTGGACATGTAAAATTATAGGATATTCGCCGGTTCCAATATAAAGTGGTGTCCAACTTGAGGGGTTTTACTGTATTTGTAAATATTTAATTATGTTAACTTTGATGACAATTCACACAATTAATTTGTTACAAAAAATCTTTTACATATCTCCAAGTAGTTATTTTTTACTTACATAATTTTATATACCTAAGAATGCCCTTTTTACTAATTGTGTGGAAGTAATATCTAAAAGGAAACAAGGAATTGTGTGTTAATGGCAGTTTAATTAAAATGTAGTAAGTTCCCAATATTATTATGCATTAATGTTTCCTGAAAGTGAAATTTGGAAGTTGATGCTTGTGAACAGCACCTGACATGGTCAGTTATCAGCTTGGAGTGATTTGTTTCAGGAGAAATTTATGTGAAATTTAGGAATCTACAAATGTTCAACCTGCTCAAATATTGATCCACCCATTACTTTTGAAACAGTTCCCGTCCAGAAGTATAAGATAACGCTGCTTGCTTTTATTTTCTGTATTTTTATCAGTACGAAAACTGATTCATCGGAGTTGATGGCAAGAACTAGATGCTTTTTAAAAAAGTACAGTGTTGTGTCACTAAGAATTTTATAAACAATCTGAATGTATGCCATAATGTGTCAGTTTCTCATGGAACATATAAGTATGTTATTTAAGGTGGTACAGAATAAATACAAATATCTTCTGACAAAATTTAAGACGGACCACAGTAGGCCTAAAATGCTTAAAGATAATAAAGTGAATAGTTTTGTAAAATTCTAAGAGCGAATTAGAATTCTCAGAGCCTGGGACAGCATTTATCTTTTACAATACAGAAAACGTGTCAGTTTGGTTGGACAAAATGTATTTCTTGAATTTGTATTCTTAGCTAATGCTCTTGATGATAGCAGTGTTAACTTCTTAGTGTGTGGTCAAGTAACATCCTTCAGTGTGAATGCCAAAAAAGCGTATCTATCTGTCGTCTTTGAGGAGAAATAGTGAGTTAAAAAATAAATCCACCCATAACCATGTTCAAAGTGCTTACATTATATTCCTCTAGAACAGTGGTCCCCAACTTTTTGTTTTGTGCCTACGGCACATCTGAAAGTTTATGAGATCGTGGCGGGCACCAACCAATTAACAAAGCCAAATTTTCTTTTCTCAGGACAAATAAGATATAGACACCAAATAATACACAAAACAACACGACGTTTAATGATACAAAAAACCACACAATCAAAAATACGTACTTTTATAAGTACAATTATTATTACTCAAGTGGGAAGTTAGTGTGATGTTTGGCGCTGCATTTCATCGGCCAGTTTTTCAAATTTGGGAGTGTAGGATGATGTTATTGCTCGCAAACAATAGTCAAGATGGGCATTAGTAAGTAGAGATCTGTGCTTTGATTTTATAATGTTCGTGGTTGAATGGCCTTCATTATTCAGTATAAGCTCTTTCCGTAACGTGGGCACCCAAAAAAAGACTTGGTGGGCGCCCGCGGGCACCGCGTTGGGGACCACTGCTCTAGAAGACCTGTGATAATGACTTGGAAAAGCGATGAATGTTGCATGATGTCACTGACACTAAAGGGTTTATGTGCTCAAGTCTTAAGCATAATGTCATTTCAATACTCATTACGAAAAAAATCTTTAAAGGTATTTAGTGCTATTGTGTATGAATTGTGCCTCAGACCTTGAATGTACGAAAGTACAATGGGTCTGTAAGAACAGGTTCAATCTGTGCAATATTGTAATACATATGTTGATCTGTCCCAAACAGACTTTTAGACATTGTACAGAGTCAAATAGTTTCCCTACTGTGGTGGGCGTTGCTGGCTTCCAGTCTCGATACAGTCGGCACGCTTCATCATGTGTCGACGTCATGTTCAATATAACTTAGTAGTACTTGCTTATTCTGTATATTATGAAAGGAGTTGCTTATGTTTTTAGTTAGTATTCATAAAAAAACTAATAAATACGTCTCAAAATTGTGAGACTTAAATTCGCTTGTTTTATTATCTTTCAAATTCCTCTCTGATCGGGTTAACAGGAGTGTCATTCCAAAGTTTAATGATGGTGGTGTATTAGTTTTTTATATATTAATCAGACATAATCGTTTGATTTAAATTATAATAATTAAAAGAAGTCCTAATGAAAGCCACGTTCCTGAGGCTGGCACTGCCTCCACAGAGGAAGGATGGTCTGTACTAGAATGAGATTCAATACCAAGTTGTATTGAAACCCATCAATGTTCAAAAGTGAACACTGCAAAGAATGTATGAGGATATTATGTGTATTCTGGCGTGGAATACACTTTCTGAGCTCGTTAACTAATTATTTTGTACTAATTCTGATGTAAGCTTAAGCTGCGAGCAGCAGCAGAAGAAATAAAGCCAGCATTTTGTGCTTCTGTGTGTCTAATGTCAACTGGTTTAGACCACATGTTTAAAAGAGAGAATCAAATCATATATTAACACCCAACTCGCCTACAGTCGGTCATTCCAATTAAAAGGCGATCCCTACCTGGTATTTGCGACTTCTTGCATACGGCAAGAACGTAGTCCATTGTTTCGACAGGAATATTTCCATCCAACACCACTAGGGAACTCTGCTTTATTTCATCTAAGAAGTTGTCGACCTGTAACCGACAGTGTGCACGTTTTAAATTCATAAAACAATTCTGCGAGTTTAAATCCGACACAATTTTTTCTTACGCAGAGTATTAATAATAATAATATGGAAAGACTTATCTTATCTCAGTGCATTTAAACTGCATATTTTGTAACACAAAAGTTCTGTCATTAGCATTTGTGTTTTTCATGACCCATGATACATTAATTAGAGAAAAGATTCATTATTCTGTAACTATGTTCCCAGTAAAACTACTTTAATCAAATATGATTCTTATAAAAATGTCGCAGAGCACAGGTGATCATTGTAACCACCACCACAAAGCTTAAAATGAATAACACAAGACTTCCACTCTGCATGGTACATTATTAAGATGCACTTAATACTGATTAAGTCAAAGAACGTATTAAAACTTCAAGCCTTATATATATTTCCCAGTAGAAACTATAACCCTACTATTAATTGTCTATTTAGACCATACTGATTATTTACGACATTTCTGAAATAAAACTTCCGCTGATTAAATTTGCTAATGAACAAAATCATTAATCGAATCACGAATCTTTACATCATATAAATAACAGTTGACAGCAGTCCTAATGTGTTGCTCACCAGTTTAGGAGAGATGTAGTCATGTGTGACCATGTCGCCGACTCCGAAGTAACACTCCCCATGCTTGTTGACAATGGCGCTGTAACAGGCAGTCCTGCAGTGGTCTAACCACAACAACCCGCTTGTTTCCTGCAGAACATGATTACTGAACTGGTTTACTCATTCAGTACATCTTCTAGGTTATGTAACGGAATGGAAGGGACATTTGTATATTACGCACTGAAAAGGAAATGGCTGTAGCCTGCTTTGAGGTACTATAGCAATATTTAGCCGGAAGAAGAACTGAGGGTACCAATAAAAAAAACCCTGTAATTCTACTTGTTCTCAGTGTCCAGATTTGAACCCCGGACGTCTCAAATAAGTAACACAAATTTTAACTACTCAGTCGCAGAGTTACTTTGTGCGTGTTCCGTCTCGTGTTTGTCTGTAAATATGGACGTTTGACGTTCTTCAATAATACGTGCAGTAGCTCAGAGCGACATGTACATCATCAAGGCGTGTTTTGTGATATAAAATACCGCAAATACTTTTCATCACACAGTATGACAGCATTATAAAAAAATATATGAGGGGTACACAAAATACATCGGCCAGCAGCGTTATCCTCATGTCAGCCTGCTATTCGTGTAAACACTGTCACGAAATAAAATTGTTGTTCTGCAAGTATGACAATGATTTGTACTCACAATGTGCTTAAGAGTGTTCTTCACAAGATAGTCTCCCGCGTAATCGTTCCCTATGGCGGAGATCAGGAATGGCAGTGTTCCGAGTTTTCCAAGGGCGTCTGCTATATTCCTCCCAACACCACCGCCCGACTGTCGAATTTGGCCGGCGTGTGTGCTGCCATTCGCCTGAAATGACATTAGAATATAACATTTCGGTATTAGATGTATCACTTTCTTTCCACTTCATTGACTCATTCATCGCCCTGATGACGGAGGCAGTATGACCTTCGAAACGTTGGTAAACATCTACCATACTACGCGGCGTAACAATCCAGACGACAGAAATCTTCAATGTACTCTCTGTTTCATGGAAGGAACTGGCAAACCAACCAAAAGGCTAACTAAGGCCGGAGTCCTGCGCAAGCGCAAGACATCGTAACTTACTAGGTAACACCAATCCTGCGTACGATATGCATTGCTGGAAATGGTAAACTAAAACGAAAATTTGCATACGTTAACGGGGGTTCTGTTGTGGTGGAAACCTGGCCTATTCAAACTGGGGTCTGTTGCTGCTGATGAGAGGTTATACCATCAGGCAACTTGTCCTTCGTGCAAAGGATTTTGGTTGGTTGCACTCTGGGGTTTGAACCCAGAGAGTGTGAGATCGCTTCGGCTGAAGGTCTCTATGATTGGGCATGGCGGGCCGTGCCCCGTTTTGAATTGTACCCTGGCATTTGCCTTAAAACTGAGCAAAAGCACGGAAAACCCCAGTCAAAGTAGGAAGAGACTGGCTTTCAGATTCGTCTCTTTTTAACACTAATTCGTTCACCGAAAGTCCGACAGATGTCCTCTGACTCTGGCCGTTTCTATGGTTACATAGTTGGAGGAGGAGTTGACGTGCAGGCGCGGAACAGCGCAGTAGTGCTGGTTGCATATGCACAAGAAAAGGGGATGGTACTTGCAAAGACACACCCGCCTCCCCCCTTACGCCCTCCGAGAGAGAACAGCTGAAAGTGCTTTTTTGAACAGTGTGTCCAAAGATGTTCGAGTGGTAACATCCGTATTTTCCAATACATTTTAACGCAAGTAATAAACAATATTGCAGGCTGAAAAGTGTTGTGTTTTAATGTTTCTTTCAACATATTAACTGAGGCATTAGTTTTAATTTCAAGTGTGATGGTGTTCACAGCACTAAGAGAACACTATACCAGTTACGTAGCAAATAAGTCACAGTTAAATACAACCAGAAAACTGAAGATTTACACGGTGACTTTAGCAAAAACTTTTTCGGTGCAGAGAAGAAATCGTAATACAACTTTTGTTCCTAATACAACCAAAATAAGAATAACACAAAACTTATTACTGGAGCGTGTGAAGGAGAGGAACGAGTGAGAATAAGCCGTCTATGACAGGCGGCTAATCCTGAGTTAACATATTAATACAACTTAGTTACAAACAAATCATTACAACCGGCTATTAAAATTATTGCTAAATTCAAGTGAAGAAACTCATAAAGACTATTTTAATAGTGCGCTTTTCCCCTTTAAGATCAAGAATGCAAACACAGACAACACTTTCTTCAAACAATCTTATGTTGTGATACGGCGAGGAAATAAATGGCTTATAATAAGACATTAATACAAAGGACACGCGCGCAGAGTTACGATGCAGAGGAAAGACTTTCTAGTAAGAAAAAGAAGGTAAAGATTATGAAATAATCTGTTCAAAATTCTAGCCACAACAGTTACGAGATTTCCTGTACAGACGAAAGCTCTGCTACATTTTTCATCAAAAACAAACTTGACTTGGCAACAAAGATATTTCTTCTTCCGTATTCCGTCACCATCTCATCATTCTACTGGAGATGTAAGGCGCTGAACGTCCAGCAAGTAAGTACCTTATTCTGCACGCCCTGAAATGGGCTTTCTTTCTTTCCACCAATAAGATTTGCTGTGATAAATTCTGATACTCTGATTTCGTCTTTAAATTATTAATTCATGCTAACCTGCAGTCAGCTCCATTTAAAAGTCAGGCTAAGCTCGCTGTGGTGAGACATCCTTCGAACGTAATCGATATATTAACCAAAGAAAACGTCTCTAGCCCCTGAATACAATGGGTAAAGATACAGCACACATTTAACTTTAACCGTTCTCCATTGTTAGAAACCTTTTATCAATATGTTTCCATGGTAACGTATAACATCCATTCTTCAAGAGTCAGAAATAGCATTAACTGTCTGGAGGCAGTTGTTTTATTTATTTATTGTTCTGTCTGACGACAGGTCCATATGAACAGGATCCTTCCATCTTTTTCTCGGACTGGGACCTGTTCATATACGTTCTTGGCAGATGATCCAGAAGTTGTTTGCCATTGCCTTCTTCTGTGTGTGAAGGGATTATTTAGTGTTCTGTCTGAGGACAGGTCCATATGAACAGGATCCTTCCATCTTTTTCTCGGACTGTGACCTGTTCATATACGTTCTTGGCAGATGATCCAGAAGTGGTTTGCCATTGCCTTCTTCTGTGTGTGAATGGAGTAATTGTTGGGATGCCACGGAGAAACCGGGGAAGACCCCGGAGGAAAACTCCGTGTTGCCTATACCACGGCCTTGCCCAACACAAGTTATAAATTCTGGCACCGCCGGGAATTGAACCCGGGACCCCCAGGATTACAAGGCTAGCGTTCTGACCACTAGACCACCGTGGCGGTTGCTGGAGACAGTGGGCCATATTTATTGTTCCTCAAACACCAAAACAATTATATTTGCTAACCCCGTAATTGCATGTAGACGAGTCCGTTAAACGTTCTGCAACAGGAAATACACATAAGAGGAAGGGTAGGCTCTGAAAATTCAGAGTGGATGAAAACGAAATGCGGAACTGGGGGAAACATCTGAATCCAGGACTGCTGGGACGACAGCCATAGAGTACATGCCTTGAGACAAAGCACACACGTTACACAGAGAGAATAATACCGTTCATAGAAACAAGACGATTCAGTACACAACAGAATAACAGATAAAGCCATCCGCTAACGCACGCCGGATGTTAAATCCACACGTCTTCCATTCATGGGGGACAGAAATAACGGAACAGACGGACCGAAGCAGCCAAAAACCTACTTCCAATCGTCTTTTACGGCCAGTTGTAATGTTTGAGTTATTTGACACGTAGAAACATATTCCATTTTGAAGATAGCTGTCTACTGGGTTGTTGCGCAGTGTAGCCTGGTAGATTTCCACCAACATTTCAGAGGGGAGGGTGAACTTCACCTGAGCCGGCCACGGAAGCCCCTCACTCAAGGTTTCTGCAGAAATGCAGGCAAGACAGACGCCATACATATGTCGTTTAAAGTCACAAATAGTCTACGTCAATGATTTGTTGGTACTTTACAAATCCAAGCAAGGGTTAAGCAGGGTTGGAAAAGGTTTCTGTAGGTTAGGTTAGGTTAGGTTAGATTAAGTTAGGTTAGGTTAGATTGGGGAAGGGTAGGTTAGGTTAATTTAGGTTAGGTTGGGTTAGAATCGGTTCGATTAGGTTACGATTGGTTAGGTTAGATTAGATTCGATTAATTTCTGTTCGGATAGGTTAGGTTAACTTAGGTTAGGTAAGGTTAGGTTAAGTTAAGCTAGGTGAGGTTCATTTAGGTCAGGTTAGGTTGAATTAGATTCGGTTCGATTACTTTACGTTGGGTTAGGTTATGTTAGACTAGGTAAGGTTAGGTTCGGTTAGGCTATGTTAGAATAGCTTAGGTTAGGTTAGGTTGTGTTACGATAGGTTTGGTAACAATACGTTGCGCCATGTGCTGTTAGGTTCTTACTGTTTTAGCTTTTTAATAATATGGGTTAGGTAAGTTGAGGTGAATCCGAGTGACCAAACTCATGTCAGTCTGAGGTCACTGGAGAAATCCTAGATTGGTGCTGAAAAGTTGTGCACAGGTTCTTTAGAAGTTCTTGGTCCGCTTTTGGAGAAATCCTGGAGAATGGCTGAAGAAGTCATGGAGAGGTTTTGTGGAAGTCCTTAAGCGTTGATTGCTTTGATCGAATGCGTTTCTGTCAGTTTCGGTTATGTTGGAATAGTTTAGGTTACATTTGAATAGGATGAGTTGTTTTGGGTTAGGTTGGGTTAGGTTAGGTTTAATTAGGTTATGTTATATTGTGTTAAGTTAGGCCAGTTTGTGTTAGGTTAGGTTAGTTAAATTTGTGGTTTTAGAATGAGTCCAGTAGTTTCCTGGAGAATTCCTATCATCTTGATCTGGTGAACGTGTGCATCAATATCAGTCCGTGGGTTTGCCGAATAGAGGAGTTTTAAATTTTCAAGGTCATTCGAAAGTCAGTTTTTTCAAAGACATATTTCTGACGATCTGTTGGAATGTGGGTGACAACATTCATGTCAGTTTTAGGTAACAGACAGGTCAGTGTCATGTGAAGTTCCCTGACAATTAAAATTTTCAAGAACACACTTTCCGATAACAGCAGATCACGTTTGCCCGACCACTACATGATGGATACTTATGTTGAACGCGTCTTAGCAGGACAAAACAAACGATTCGCAGCTCGCTTATGATCGCTTACGCAGGACAGCAACGGAACGGCGTAATGTATTTCCGACAAACCCTCAACTCGTGTAGGCGAACTTCCGAGAATTTGCCTTATGTCAATAATCCTGCTCGCCCTGTATCTGCTGACGAAGTTCTCTGAATACCTTCAAGTCTGATTCTAGGAATGAAAAAGCATTCAAGACAGTTACATCGTAATTAATAAGCCCCGTATCTGCGAACAAGAAATGTGCCTAGAATGAATGAAGCCATTTAATCGCCAGTGTTCTCTTATTCAGAATCTCGAAATTTTAAACTCTGAGTAAACGTTCTAGGCCATCATACACACTTGCAATACTACTGATTCTGAAAACATTACTCTGTTTGCGCAATATAAGTTGCCTACACAAACACACTTCAAGTTCAGTAACTGTTCCAAAAAGTCACTCAGATGACTGAGGAACAGATGTTAATTTCTGCAGAATATTCAGTCATCTAGTTATCTTCAGTTGGGTTATGGGTTATATTATTTAAATATGGTTACACAGTGAAATTCCACAGCGTAAAATATTTTCAAGAGCCGTTCGATATTGGAATTTTAATGTCGGACTCTAGTGAGCGGATCCTACTCTTTATATATAGGACTACTGCTACAATACACACAAACCAATGATTAAAAAACTTCAATATCCACATTTACCGATAAAAGATTGTATTAGACAGGAGTACCGACGTTATCAATGAGGCGAATATCCACTTACCAAAAATATGTACAACATAGTACGAATATTGCATATCAGAGATGCTTAGAATCCATTATTCGATGTAGTCAAATCCATTTTTCAGAAATTTTAATAAGTTTCAGTGCTGCTGTTGGCCGGCTGTGTTTAAAATGTACAGCAAAAAGTGAAATATGGTCGCAGTTATTAGCATTATAAGTATGTAATTGTTAATAAGCAGTGTGAACTGACTAGACACAGTATTGATAAACATATCCAACTGAATGCCACGGCTCAGCCCTAGAGATGGAGACGGTATGCTCCTCCGAACGGATAATTTCTTACGAAACCATTTGGGGTTGCAGTCCAGGAGACCAACGTCTAGATGATGGCTGTCTTCTGGGTTGTAGCGCCGTGTAGTTTCGTAGAAGTTTACCAACGTTTCAGAGACATAGCAATGATGATGGAGGCAGTAAGGACCTCTGAAACGTCTGTAAACTTCTACCAGACTACACGGCGCTACAACCCAGAAGACAGCCATCCTCGTACTCATCGCCATGAAAATCTCAAAACTTATGTAGCATAAAATGTTCCGTTTTCTGTACCTTAAGCAGTACTTATCAGAACGGAAAAAAATTACACAACGAGGAACTTCATACTTTGTATTTCTCCTAAATATTAATATGATCGACCGAAGAAGGAGTAGGTGGCTGGTACATACAGCACACATGGTGACCAGAAACTTCAGTCGGTCGGTCTAAACCTAGGGGTAGATGGAACGACAATATTAAAATAGAATACAGAAATTGGGTGTGTACTGAATTCGTATTGCTCAGGATAATGTACAGTGACGGGCGCTTAAAACAAGTAATGAACACGGTAATGAGCACCTGAGTTCACTCAGTAAATTTAATGACCAGTTGAGATACCACCAGTTTCCCAAGGACTCCTGCCTCGAGCAGTTAGTCAACTATTAGTTCCTTAGAGATGATAATGTTGCGTCATATCGTGATGATTATAATTGTTTAATTTTAACCGGCTAATCACAATAAAATATTTTATTAAATATTAAAATATTATTACTACAATTAACATTTAATATTTAAAATATT